TTTTAAATCTTATACTCTCTTCCAGTGTATTGTATATTCAAGCTCAAATGATTGTACTTTGGACAATTAGAAGACTTAGATCTCTTGAAAAGGTTCTAATGCTGGAAAAAGTAGAAAAGGACAACCAGCAGCAGGGTAGATGGACTCAGTTACAAGAGTGATGGGTGCACTATTAGAAGACCATGTTAGGGACACATTGTCATGGAGGAAATCTATATATGTGGTTGCTAAGAAGTGACAATGACTTGATGGCACATAATCTATGTACTACTGTACTAAAACTCTCATGTCTGTGATCTTTAACTGGATTTAGGTTTGGCTAGTCTAAAGAAAAGAAGAAATGGGAGACATGATAGCAGTATTCCAGTATTTGAAGGGCTGCCACAAAGAAGAGGGGGTCACGTTATTCACCAAAGCACCAGAGGGCAGGACAAGAAACAATGGTGGGAAACTGATCAAAGAGAGATGCAACCTTGAATTAAGGAGAAACTTCCTGACAGTGAGGACAATTAACCAGTGGAATAGCTTGTCGTGGGCGCTCCATCACTGGAGATTTTTAAAAAGAGGCTAGCTAGATAGTCACTTGTCTGAGATGGTATAGGTCAGCGGTTCTCAACCTTTGGGTCGCGACCCCATTTGGGGTCGAACGACCATTTTACGGGGGTCGCCAAACAACGCGATCCACCATTTTTCCCCTCAGGGGCCGCCGTGCATGCGTGCTGCGCATGGGGGCGCCGCCGCACATGTGCGCCACGCATGGGGGCGCGTCCTTATGACCGGGGTCGCCGTATAAAAAGGTTGAGAACCACTGGTATAGGTTCTCCTGCTTGAGCAGGGGGATGGACTAGAAGACCTCCAAGGTCCCTTCCAGCTCTATTCTATTCTAATATTCTAAACTGGTGCATCACAGACAAAATACAAAACCTTTTCAACCAAGTTATCTCAAATGGGCTAAACTTACAGAAAGCATCCAAAATCCAGGACCCATGACTCTCCTGAAATTGAAATTTGGCACATTTTAGAATTCCATAAAACAATTAGCAAAGTTTTTTATGACATAATACAAAATGTCATGAAGCATTTTCTATGGCCAACTCCTAATGTATGACAGTACTACACAGTTCAACGTGGGCTACTTTCAAAGCAGATTCATCTCTGAATATCTCCCTGAACTTTTGAGAACTTTTCCAGTATATTAGAAGCTCTGCCATTGTTGAAGGAATTGAGGAATCTGATAAGGAAATATCTCTGAAACAATTAAAACTTGCTCCTTGATAACCAAAAGTATTGTATTCTACATGGCTTTATTATGAATACAAGAATTAACAATAAGCAAAGTTCCAAGTTCTTTCTCAGATTGCAAAGCAAATGCACAGAATGGAGGGGCCAGCAAATATGGCATTATATCTTGACATCTGTTTCTATGCAACAGGGCTGGGAAGGAATGAAGAGAGCCTTCAAATGCAGCAAGGCTGTTTGTATGTGCAAGGGGAGTAAATCATTACATTATCATACAAAACATGTTAATTATGAAGTTTGCAGCATTTGCACAATGACACTCATATCAGATAGCTATGAGTATTTCATTAATGAGGGAAATGAATATAAATGAACAGAGAGGGGAACAACGGAAACGATCAATCTAGAATTTAAAATTCCAAAAATTCCATGTTACTATAATTTGTATAAATTCTATAAATGAGAAATGTTAAACTCCCCAAATGAGAATAAAAAAAGTTTCTTGGCTCCTTTTTTCTCATTCAGCCAAATTAATTATTTTAATTATGTTATAATTTAGCATGTGTCAGTTTATCCATTACTATAATCAATATTTCACCAATAAGTTATATATACAAGTAGTCCTCGACTTACAACCACAATTGAGCCAACCCTTTCTGTTATTGAGCTGTTTGTTAAGTGAATTTTGCCCCATTTTACGACTTTCCTTGCCACAGTTAAGTGAATCACTGCAGTTGATAAGGTAGTAACCCAGTTGTTAAGTGAATCTGGCTTCCTCATTGATTTCGCTTGTCATGAGGTTGCAAAAGGGGATCACGTGATCCTGGGATACAATGACCGTCATAAATATGAACCAGTTGCCAAGCATCTGAATTTTGATCACATGATCATGAGGATGCTGCAAAGATCATAACTGTGAAAAACGGTCATAAGTCACATTTTTAGTGTGACATTTTGAACGGTCACTAAATGAACTGCTGTAAATCAAAGACTACCAGTAATTATATCTCAAGGAAAACTGTATGCAAATACATGCAGTTCCATGGAAATTACATCACATTGATTACTTTTAGTATTCATTAATTACTGTTAATCCATATAAGCAAATGTATAGCTTTGAACAATTTTCCTCAAGAAATAAACAAAGAAATCTAATATTTTTGACTTGTTTAATTGTATTCTCTTTGTCTATTTTTAGGACTTGTAGTAGAGAATTAATCACACTGAAGGTCAGATTATGCAAAAATATTGAAAATTTACCAACTTTTAAGCACCACTATGTGACAGGTGAACCAAACCAAACTGTCACTAGGAATGGGGCCAACCATGGAATCTCTTGGGCCATGCTTTGTCAGAATGTCAAAATCAGAAATTATGGTGTCGTGGTGCAAGGCCCTTCTCTTTGAGGGGTGTGTGTGTGTGTTTGTGCGTGAGATGTCATGTCTCATGTAGTCCAGCACTGCTTTTAATCAGAAGACTCCTCAACACTACCGACATCGATTATTTTTGCAGTCTCCAGATCACTGAAAATATACTGAAAATGGATGGCAAAACCTAGAGATTGAAAAGGTACAAATATTATGCTGGTTCACAGGAATTTGAGAAAATCAAAGCATGTTTTTTGGTCATCAAATTATTTCCTAATATTACCCAGCTGCATTTTGTGTGCATGAAAATATATGTTCTATGATGCACATGTTTACTATTTTGCAATGAAATAGTAAACATGTGCATCATAGAACATATGATGCACATGGAATGGAATGGGCCAACTCTATCAGACTTGGAAATGGGCCAACTTGGAATGGGCCAACTCTACCAGACTGTAACCATTTTTTCCTCAGAAAATCCTCCCATCAGTAATGAAGATAAAGTTTCTCTTTTTTTGTATTAACAAAAAAAGATCTCAATAAGTTTGACTCTTGATTTTCCAGCATCCTGGATTTCACTCCTCACTCTTTACATTAACAACTTTCTGAAACAGGATAAAATCATGCATCTAATAATGAAGACAGATCCAAACAAGACAGTGCCCGAGAGTGAATTAAACTTATTTCAGGATTATCCCTTTATTCCAAAGCAACCTGGAAATTCGACTTCTCTATCCATCCATCCATCCTGCTATTAAGTTAAAAAAAAAGAGAGCAAACTGGTAATTTTTGTTTGTATTTTAAGGAGCAAACAAATACAAACACATCAGAACATTAACCATCAGAGGATATTTGAAAAAGGGACTGCAGTAACATACAGGTAGTCCTTGATGAACAATTCATTTAATGACTGTTCAAAGTTACAACGGCATTGAAAAAAGTGATTTATGACCGTTTTTTTCATTTATGACCGTTGCAGTGTCCGAGGTCATGTGATCAAAAAGCAGACACTTGGCAACTAACTCGTATTTATGATGGTTGAAGCCAGTTTCACTTAAGAACTGTGTCACCAACTTAACTGTAGTCATTCACTTAACAACTGAGGTACCCAAGGTCATAAAATGGAACAAAATCCACTTCACAAATGCCTCACTTAACAACACAAATGTTGGGCTCAATTGTAGTCTTAAGTCCAGGACTATCTGAACATCAACACTTTAGAAAGCCAAAACAAGGCCCTTGTATTCCAAGGAGAGGTTGAACGGGTCTTATTCCTAATTTGGGCAATTAAAAGAAAAAAAATGAATCCCTCCGGCACTGAAGGGGCTCATTTGGTTATCGGGTTGACTTGGAAAGCCCGCAGCCCTTGGAAAAAAGCTCCCTACTGGGTTTTTTGTCGTCTGCACCTGCCTCAAGTTGGGAGCCCCCGGCAGGCGCAGGTGCCCGTTCGGGCTGCAGCGGGAGTCAGCCAAGGTCGCCCTTTGCGGCAAAGGTGGCGGGAGGCGAGCAGGAAGCGGTCCAGCCCTCCTCCTTCTCCACGCTCGCTTCCAGCTTGCGGCCGTTCAAGGGCGCTTGCTCCACCTTCCTCCGGCCGGGGGTCAGCAGTGAGGAATAGGCAGCAATTCGAGGGCGGAGCTGTTGCCCGCATTAGAGGGCCAAGTCTCTCCGGGCGCTTCTCTTGCAGAGATTGCAGGCGGGTTTCCCTTGGAATCTCCACCTTGGCCCTTCAGGTCGCACCGAGTGCCAAGCACCGGAGCTGACCTTGGCAAAGTATGCGGGTCAGAGCTTGTTAGGACTCGGGAGAACCCCAGGAAAGGGCTGCGGTGGACCAGGTTGGGCGCACAGAAAGCACCTTGGAGCGGTACAGGGCGAAGCGGCTCCTTCTGCAAAGGGTTCTGCTTGGACTTTTACCCTTGTATCTTGCGACGCGTCCCTAACACGTGGCTGGGAATCAAGAGCGTTAAAGATGCCCCCGCACTGCTCTCTCCTTTGACACCGCTGGATTGGGGCCTCCTGCAGAACCAGAGAGGAGCCAGCCTTTCCCTTCGACAGCTCCACCTTGATCGAGAAATAATTAAAATAAAATAAAAGGTCTCCCAGGGCGCAGCTGGGGGGGGGGGGAATTGGCAGATAAACCCGGAAAAATCCCGCGCGCCGCCCTCCTCCTCCGGCTTGCGTTCTCCTCCCACTCGCGGCGTTCTTCCCCCCCCCGCACCGTCCGTCAGGAGGAGGGGCCGCGCTGGCTCCTCCTCCTTTCCCACCCGGCTGTTGTGCGCGCGCGCACGCAGCCCAGCAGCCAACCAGCCTCCTCTCTCACGTTCCTTCCGTACTCGGTCCGTGGTTCTTTCTGGCGGGGGAGGGGGGTGGAGGGGAGCGGAGGTTTGCTTGTGCAGAGTGGAGGCTGATGTGAATCCTTCGGGTCCTGCCTGGAGCTGCTGGAAGGGGGAGGGGGCGCAAGGGGGGGCAGGAGGAGGAGGAGGAAGAAGAGCAGCGCTGCTTCTGCCGCTTCCGTCATCATGGCTCACTCCCCTGTCCAGCAGCCTGGCCTGCCGGGGATGCAGGTGAGTAAGCACCCCCCCCCCACACACACACACATACACGTACACCGGCCTTCTCTTCCCGCCTCCCTGGCTTCCCCTGCTTGAAGCTGCTCTGGGGTCCTGGCGGGAGGAGGGGTTGGTGGGGCTCGCTGCGGCTATCTGGTCGGGGGCTGGCACGAGGTTCCTCGCTCGGGGGGTCGCAGCTCTGGAACGGGCGCCGGCAGCAGGCGGGGAGAGGGCGGGGGAAGGCGGGCGGGGGGGGAGGCACGTGCGGAGAGGGGAGGCGGGGGCTGCGGCCACTCTTCCATTTGCGCCCCTGGCAACGAGGGAGGGCGAGGAGAGCGGGTTACCCCACTCGTCTCCTCTCTTGCCCACTAAGTTGCCCGGGGAGCCTCTCTGCCTAAGTGTGGGGTTGGCAAAAAAAACCAACAGACCACCTTTGCAGATCCCTCTTGATCTGCTGGAAGAAGGGTTGACCTTCAGGGCGTCCTGCGCTGCTCATTTGTGTACGTGCCCAGCTTCTCATTTGGAGCTGAATTTAGAGGACACCGCAGATGTTATTTGGGGACCCATCTCTCCCTCCTCCCTCTGTCTTTCTTCCTCTCCCTCTCTCCCTTTTAGACGCTTTGTATCTTCAGTTGCTCTTTTGCTTGGTATTCGTTAGCAAAATCAAGATGTAGGAAGGCGTTGGGATGGCATTCCTGAGGTAATTTTTGGGGATGGGCAGAGAGTTTAAAATGTACATGTTAAGAAAAATCACTAATAAAAAAGGATCTTTTCAGGCTCTTCTACTTTGATGGCTATGTTTTATAAGTGGTATTTGTACTGTGTATATACATTAGAGAGATTGAATGGTAATAGGGAAGCTGTAGCTAGAAAAAAACACTATGTAATGTACTTCCAGGGTACTGTATCTTTTTTTTAAAAAAAATTTGAATTCTAGGACTTGCTGGGCCTGATAACTCAAATCCTCAATGACCTGTGTACTTTCGGAAGCCTGTGAATTCCAGAGCTCTGAAATGTGGTTGTAGAGGAAGACAGTCCTCACCTTGTGCCCAGTTCATCAAAGATGGAAGGGGGAGGGCGAGTGTTGAACCATCAGTTAAAAAGATTTTTCCTCAATTAACAAACAGACTCTGCATAGTATCCAGAATATTACCCAATTTCTCTGACCTCAAGCTTGTTATATGTCCAGATCCTCTGCTCAGATCATTGATTTTTCTCATAGTTCCTCTCAAAGGTCACTTTCTTCATCTTTTTTAAAGACATTAATCAGAACCTGAAGTTAGATCTTATCAGTGTTTGACTAAGAAGTTATGAAGATTCCATGTTTTCTGTTTTCTCCTATCTTTTGGTTATTTTTCATTCTCTGCTGCCTCCTCCAATAACCTGTACTGGAGGGCTCTGATAAACAAGGGTTGTGTATATCTGATATACACATGTATGTCTTACAGCATTGTGTATAATGCAAATCAAGCTAGCACAAAAGAGGGAGCAAAAACAAAGGAATTTTATTTTGTTTTAAATTGGGCAAGGAATCTTAGATGTATGAATCAAACTGGGCCAAAATAATTTATGCCTACTTACATTGCTCTTGCCTGGCAGGTAAGCTGTCTTAGAGTCCACTACAGTGATGGATCCAGGATCATAGTACAAAAAACATTTATGATTAATTTCCAGGAGCCTCTGTGGGGAGTGTTGGATTTCTGTGTTATCACCTGGATTCAACATGGTTTACATGATTTGACATATAGGTATAATTGTTGGTGAAAGTGAGATTTACCCTGATGTTGAATTATGAACGGTAAAAATAGGACATTTTTATTTTATAAAAATGTAATTCATAGTTTAACCTATCCAACATACCATTAAAAAGGATTTAAAACATATATTTAAATATGCTTTTTTAAATGAATCAATCTTGTACCCAGTCAAGTTGTATCAGAAAATTACATATAGGTTGCCTGTTAGTCTTCTACCCTCCACAGTACAATTTGTAAATCTATATCTCAATTCTTTTAAATCATTTCTCAAAGAGTTTTCAACATTCCATAATATCTTCATATAGTAAGTCCTTTTATTTTACATTTTAGATGTACTGTCTTAATTTTTTGCAACTATATTCTATATAGGTACCGTAATTCTCGACTTATGACCACAATTGAGCCCAAAATTTTCATTGCTAGCAAGACAGTTGTAAAGTGAGTTTTGCCCCATTTTATGATATTTCTTGCCACAGTTGTTAAATGAATCACTGCAGTTATTAAGTTAGTAACACAGTTGTTAAGTGAATCTGGTTTCCCCATTGTCAGAAAATTGCAAAAGGTGATCACATCACCCTGGCCACTGCAATCATCATAAATATGATTTAGTTGCCAAGTGACTAAATTTTGATCACGTGATCATGGGGATGCTGCAAGGGTCATAATTGAAAAAAAAAATAGTCCTAAATCAGTAGTTTCAGTGTTGTTGTAACTTAAGATGTATTTTATTTTTAACAATGCTTTGCATATCTTAAATTGAAACTACCAATTCTTCAAAACTTCCTAGCCTACATTTCTTATATTAGTTAACTTAAGGGAGAAAAGTCCTCACAATTAAAACCTTTGGAAAATATTCCCTCTTGTTCATCTAAAATAATTTGCTATGTAATCATTTCCAAATGTTTTCCAGGTGTTTTGTAATGCAATTTCTGTCCTACTTATGTATTGGCCATGGTGCCTGAGGTTGATAGAAACTTTAGTTGAGCATACCTGGAGGGGACATCAGACTGGTTAAAGCAACATTGTTTGCTTATTTATTAAAATTACATACTTCAGAGGCTCCCAGTGAAGCCAACCCATATAGTTCTTAAACAAGTCAACAGTCAGTACAATAAAATCAAGCACGAAGACCACACAATGGAGATAGATAATTAATTCCGCGGCTTTATTTTAGTGGCTGTTAAGTGACTTTTCCCAGTAAAAATTTCTCACATTTCGGGAAGCACAAAAAGGGCAAAATCAGTGCGATAGGTGAATCTGTATCCTTTTTATTCATTTATCTCTTCCACTCTGGGATGAATATGTATCTGTATATTTTTTTTATTTTTATTGCTATTTCAACAATACATCCCTAGGATTCTGTGCATTTCTAGGTAAAGAAAAAATGTAAAAAGTTACTACTACTCGTAAAAAGACTTGCCTGTCCAAAGAAAATGAATCTGGTTATTTTATTACAGCACTAATCTTTAAATGTATTGTTATCTGTCCCCAGTTGTCTGTGTGTGCATTTGCAGGTAACAGTTTCACTGATATTACCAGGAAATGTTGCTTGTACACACACACATTGAGATGGTTGAGGACAGGTGAGCTTTGCAAAAGATGTAGCTAGTTTAATGTACCAAAGAGAGATCCTTACTTTATTTTAAAATACTCTGGGAAACGCCTCTTTAAAATGCTTTGTGTAGCTCTTGTGCCTGGGAATATAGGGTTTGCATGCTGGTTTTCTCTGCGTTCCTTTCAACACCATTTTGTTGGATTGAGGTGAATCATTTTGTGTTCCAGTTGTCTTGAGGAAAGGGAACAAACTATTCAGTTGCTGGGGACTTTCCAATGTGTGGTTGCTGCTTAATTAATTTGGGTTTTTAATATATTAAAATAGGATTTACTTTTAAATAGGATTAATCAAAGAGCAAGTTAAAAATACAGGAACTTTGCTGAAACTATCTGGTTCTGTGTGTATATTACCTTGAAATCCATGATAGAGGAAATTTAGGAATTTAGATGTCACCATCACCATCATTATCTTGTCCTACACACACATACATACACATACACACGCACACATAGATCAGGGCTTTTCAACCAGTGGTACGGGTACCACCTGTGGTACATTTGCACCTGGCAGGTGATACATGACCATCCTAGAAAAGTGGTAGCGGGGGAGGGGAATGAGCTGAACCGGTGGCAGCACCGCACAAGCCTGAGCGAGAGATGGCTGGAGCTGCAGGGCTGTCAGGGCTCAGCGGAAACGCCAGGATCAGTGCCGCTTTCCAGCTGATCGGCACTTCTTTTGGGCTGTCAGGGCTCATTGGAAATGCCAGGATCAGTGCCAGGCTCCACCTGGAGCTCGGCGCTGATCCTGGTGCTTCTGCTGAGCCCTGAAGAGGCACCAATCAGCTGGAAAGCAGCACTGATCCTGATGCTTCTCCTGAGCCCAGAAGAAGCGCTGATCAGCTGGAATGTTGAAGCATCTCCAGGGTGTTCTGATTTACATTCAGATGCTTGGCAACTGATTCATATTTATGACGGTTACAGTGTCCCAGGGTCATGTGAAGTGTCCAAAACCTGCAACCACCCAGCAGACGGGGAGAATAAAAACCAAACACACCCCATCCCATCCCTGCTGCCAATTCTCAACAGAAATGTTCATAACAATGAAAACTTCGGACAGCAGGAAGGTGTCTTGCTCGGCTGTGGCTTGGGGGGCACTTTTTTCAGTGAACGAAGCGAACTGTTGTAAGTTGAGGACTATCTGTACTTTATCACTTTTTTCCTTTTTTTTTTTTTTTTTTTTGGTCATCAAGTTTTTGACACCTTGCTAGGCAACTTGTGGTACTCGGACGTTGCTATATCCTAAAAGTGGTGCAATGGTTGAAAAGGTTGAAAAGCCCTGACATAGATGGTCAATTCAATCAAAGCATTATATTTATATTTGGCATGTTGGATTTTTGTGTATATCCATCAGGATTAGCACCAAAAAGCCTATTGGACAAGGAATTTTATATCCTGAATAGTCTTTCATGCAGTATGGTTATAAATTACTTGCTAACTGTTCAAAGCCACAATTTCAATATCATCTTCATGCTTTATCAGTTTTCCATTTTCCGTTGCACTTTGTTTCCTTACCACCTGTTTCAGTGTTCAGTCTAACAGATTAATGTAAGACAAATTGGAAAACCTTTGGCTCTCAGGACGAATTCCCAGCATTCTTCTCCACAGCCTGTGAGACAGATTGTTGTCTAAACTTGAATTGATGCTTATGCTTAAGTAGACATTTATTCTCCAAAGAAATGAGATTAGAAATAATCACTAAGTGGGGCCATGCCTCTGACAGTACAGGTAGTCCTCGAGTTCCGGCCATAATTGAGCCCAAAATTTATGTTGCTAAGTGAAACATTTGTTAAATGAGTTTTGCCCCATTTTACGACTTTTCTTGCCACAGTTGTTAAGTGAATCATCATATTTGTTAATAATATGGTTGTTAGGTGAATCTGGATTCCCATTGACTTTGCTTGTCAGACGGTCACAAAAGCTGATCACATGACCCCAGGACGCTACAACCGTCCTAAATATGAACCAGTTGCCAAGGATCTGAATTTTGATCACGTGACCATGGGGATGCTGCAACGGTCGTAAGTGTGAAAAATGATCATAAGTCACTTTTTCAGTGCCATGGTAACTTTGAACGGTCACTAAATGAACTGCTGTAAGTCAAGGACTACCTGTACTGAGCTTTTCCTTCTTCATGGTGTATAAGAGAGTTTAGGGTCTGAGAGATGAGTTAGTCTTTCTTCATCCTATACATCAGGGATGTCAAACTCGCGACGTCACACATGATTTTTCCCCATTGCCGGCAATGGGGTGGGCGCGGTTTTGGTGTGACGCATCCGGCCCATGGGCCAGCAGTTTGACATGCCTGCTATACATGATGCCTCCAACCTGGGTTAGGTCATTGTTTAGCAATACAGATAATCCTTGACTTAACAACTGTTTGTTAAGTGACTGTTCAAAGTTACGATAGCACTGCAAAAAAATAATCAACTTATGACCCATCTCCGAAGTTGAAGGGTTTTCAGTCAGGTAATCAAAATTTGGGTGCTTGGCAGCCCACTTGCACTTCAGCTCCCCCCACCAGCCTATCCCCTCCCCATTTCTGCTCTTTTAGCCACCTGCACTCTGCACCCTGCTTTGCATGCAGACTCAACCATTTGGCTTTAGGGCTGCAAGAACCACCTAAGTCACAGCACAGTGCAACGCCACAGCAGCCCCCGGAAGTCATGGCCAACCCAGACTGCCCCATTTAGCACTAAGCCTCAGTACCCAGGAAGCACCAGCAAGCATTCATTCACCCAGCTGCCTTTTCTCCCGTTCCGCACACCCACTTTTGCTTTGCCTCATTGCTTTTGCTGGCTCCTTTTTGGACCCAGGACTGGAATTGCAGTTTCCAAGTCACATGACATTTTGCTTTATGATCATATCAGTTAGGGATGCAAATGCCAATCCCATTTGTGGTTGTAAGTTGGGGACTATCTTTATGGAAAAAATAAAATTACCCACCTCCCTATGCAGGTGCCAATTGGCCAACTGTGATTTGCGCTGTGCATAATTGTAGAGGTAGTCCTCGATTTACGATTGAGCCCAACATTTCTGATATTAAGTGACAAATTTCTTAAGTGAGTTTTGCCCCATATTATGACCTTTCTTGCCACAGTTAAGAGAATCAATGCAGCTGTTAAGTTAGTAAGAAAGTTGTTAAGTGAATCTGGCTTCCTCATTGACTTTGCTTGTCAAAAGGTTGCAAAAGGTGATCACATGACCCTAGGACACTGTAACAGTCATAAACATGAGTTAGTTGCCAAGTGTCTTGAATTTTGATCACGTGACTATGGAATGCTGTGGTGGACATAATGTGAAAAATGGTCATATGTCACTTTTTGGAGTTCTGTAACTTTGAATGGTCACTAAACGGACAGTTGTAAGTTGAGAACTACTTATAATTGCACGTAGTGTGTGACACAAACTTGGATTTCTTAAGTCTGAGGGTTTCTCCGTACGTGGGTAGAAAAAAGATTGATTAAATTATTTTGACCAAACTGACTGAAATTTAACTTTTCCTTCAATAATGTATTCAAGAAAAAGGAATTTATGACCGCTAAACTCCAAAAATATTCATTAACATAAATCTAACTATAAACTATAATCATTATGATATTGCTTTGAAACACATATATTTCTGTATTACATATTTGCAATGAGTGTTTGGTGGTTTTCTTTGTAATAATACCTTGTTGTTAATTGCAAAGTCGTGTCCGACCCATTGCGACCCCATGGACAATGTTTCTCCAGGTCTTCCTGTCCTAATAATACCTAGATCTTTGCATTTAAATACATTTTTCTGAGAATAGATCCAGACTTTTCTCCAAAAGGCTTATGGCACAAAACCATAGAAGGAAAAGACTTTCTTGGTGTGTGAACTGATTCTTGCTGATTTCATGAGTATGACAATAATGGTTTAGCACTGCTGCTTCCAGGAAGTGGTGTTTTTTTTTTTTTTTTAGTTTCAACCATGGAACCCATAGGGTTCCTCTTGGTGATTCAATCCTGCTTAAATTTTCTTGACATCAGCCAAAGTAAACTAGAGTTAAACTGCTTAGATACTTTTTTTTTTATTGAAAATTTTTTAAAATTTTACAAAAACAAAACAACCCTTCCCCAAACCTCCCCAACCCTCCCATTCCCTCCCCCGACCTTCCCAGAGCTGAATATAGGCTTAATTAAAATTTCTTCAAAAAATCTTAAAAAAGATATAAACCATGAATAAATCTAAGTACATTAATTGAACAAATTATAAAATAATTAACAATAATATATGTATAGAAAAACATAAATACCAAAAGAAAAATGCTTTAAAGAAAAAAGAATAAAAAAAGAAAAAAGATAAAAGAAAATATAATAAAAATAAAAAATAAAAATAAAAAAAGAATAAAGTCTATAAAATATTTTAAATTTTAAATATAAGTTATTGAAAAACTAAATAATATTTTTTTATATCCAACTTATATTGTATAAAATCTATCCATTTTTTCCATACCACAAAATACTTCACTTGCGATTGATCCTTCAAAAAAGCCGAAATCTTTGCCATTTCTGCCAAATAAGAAACTTTAAGAAACCACTCTTGCAAAGTAGGCAAAGATTCCTTCTTCCAACATTGTCCTACTAACAACCTTGCGGCTGTAATTAAATTTAACATCAATATGGTCTCTTTAGTATCACAATCAATAACAATACCTAACAAGAACAATTGTGGGGTAAATTTTACCTTCCTTCTAAAAATTCTTTGAATATTCCACCATATCTTAATCCAAAAAGCTTTTATATTTTTGCACGACCACCAGATATGATAATAAGTAGCATCCTTACATACTTTTTTTATTATAAATCAAATATATTCATTCTGTGCTTTTGCAAAAATATTGAAAACAAAAACAGACTAATTAAAATACATCTTCCAGTAGCTGGTGATGTGGATCAATTCTGTGGAAGTCACAGTGGCAGGCTGCTGGAGTGTGAGGATTGCTTGTTATTTTTCTTTGAACTGCTTTCCTAATCCTTGGTTCTTATTTTAAAAAATCCACTATTTCAATTTATGGCTGTTACCTATGAAGATTTGTAACCCTTCCAAATATGGATGGTGTTTTAATGTTAAATAATGGAACTTCAATAATGGTATTAACTTTGTGGAATTTTTAAGTTACACTTGGCTGTGATCAACCCGCTCCCTTTTATTTATAATAAAAAGACCAATTACAGCACTAGTACATTTAATAATAGACCCCATAGTGTGAAACTGCATTTTTGTTGTAATTTCAGATGCTTATTGAAAAAAGAAGTGAAATTATACTATTGTGTTTGTAGGTCGAATTTTAAATTGGTGAGATAGGTGGCAAACATTTAATAAATAAATCATGTAAAGCTCAGTCTTCGAAATAATTGCGGAGATAGAATCTTTACCTTTGTCTCTCACGTCCCCTTCTAATTTTGTTTTGTTTTTAACCAACATCCTGGTTGTTTTCTGAAGTCCTTCAGTTTTGCAAACCCCCAAATATAATGATCCCATAATTTTTAAAAAGCAAATCTATTTTTTTCTACTTCTGCTTTATTTTTCATGGGTCCATTGTTTTGAGTCCTTTATATTTCTTGTTTCTGGAATTTCTTCCATTCTAAGTGGAACAATCTAGAATTCAATAACCTCAACTTTATTTATTATGTTCATTTAAATATTTCTTCCAGAATTTGAAGGCAGATCCAGAAGAACTCTTTACAAAACTGGAGAAGATTGGCAAAGGTTCATTTGGTGAAGTTTTTAAAGGCATTGACAATCGAACACAGAAAGTTGTTGCTATAAAAATTATTGATCTTGAAGAAGCTGAAGATGAAATAGAAGATATACAGCAAGAAATAACAGTTCTCAGTCAGTGTGACAGTCCATATGTCACCAAATATTATGGATCTTATTTAAAGGTAAGTCTTTACTTCGCAGTGTGTCTGCTTTATGAATTGGAGTATTTGTGAAACATCTTGAAATGAAGCCATCTGACATTTTGAAGCCTAGACAAAATGAAACGTTCATTCATTCTGTAAGACCTTTCTGTTTGTTTATGTAGAGACATCAACATATGCTGAAAATACCTGTGTGCTTATAAAGTCAGGATATTTAGAGAGGGTGTATATACGTTTATATACATGTATATATGTATGAATAAATACAATGTCAGTGCTAATTTAACCTTTTAATTACTAGTTTCCTTATGAAGAATCTTAGCAGTTGTCATTTGGAAAGCATCCAGACTGCAAGATAGTCCTGACTCATTTTGCAGGTTGTTCCTGCAGCTAGGGAGGTCCTTTTGCACAAAGCTCATTTCTTGTCTCTTCATTTGCAATACCTTTCATCAACACTAAAAGTTTCTTTAGCTTGGTAAGCCTCAGAAGATTTGGTTTTGTGTTTAAATAGCTTATGATCTGACAATTTCAGGAACTATCTCCCTCACTGTTGAAGTGTTCTTGACATTAAGATCAGCCAAAAAGGCTCTCTTAAAAGTTTTCCTGTTTGCTTTTTACTATGGAATGTACTTCCCTTAGGTGATGTTCTCAGTACCAAATATTACTGTGGTTAAGAAAAGTATTCCTAGCCAGCTAGCATCCTTGTTCATCGGAATAAGCTAATAGTTGGTTGTAATTGCTTTTATTAGATTTTATTTACGTTGATATTTTTAACTTGTCTATCCTGAAGGTAACTAAGATAGTTAAGGTGGATATAAATCAAATAAATAATAATTTTGATGTAGAATTTGAAGGAGCAAAGCAGAAGCTCCCAGTAATTCTTGATGCAATAAATTTTAGATGTTATCTAGTCTAATATTTAGGAATGTATAGGAGTGGTCAATGGTGGATTTTTCAGATGTGTGGTCAGAAGTGTAAGAGTTGATCAAGGAAATTCCTGTAGGGCTCATATGACATCAAGTACCAGTGGCCATGATCTGTGCATGGTTCTTCTTTTTGCATATGTCTAGAGCAGTGGTTCTCAATCTTCCTAATGCCACGACCCTTTAATACAGTTCCTCATGTTGTGGTGACCCCCAACCCCCCATCCAGCTGGCCGGGGAGGGGGGGGCAGGAAGGCCGCTCCGCCCAGCCTGGTTAAAGAAGCGCCATTCCTCTCCCTCTTTCTCTTTCTTTTTTTCTCTCTCTCTTTCCTATCTTTCCTCTCTCTTTCTCTTTCTTCTCTTTCTCTTTCCTCTCTCCTCTCTGTCTCCTCTTTCTCTTTCTCTCTTTCCTCCCTCTTCTCTTTCTTCTCTTTCTCTTTCCTCTTTCTTTCCTCTCTCTTTCTCTCTCCCTCTTTCCTCTCTTTTTCCCTCTTTCCTCTCTTTTTCTCTTTCTCTCTCTCCTCTTTCTCTCTTTCCTCTCCCCCTCTTTCTCTTTCTTTCCTCTCTTTCTTTCCTCTCTCTTTTCCTCTGTTTCTCTCTTTCCTTCTCTCTCTTACGGCAGCATCGTCAGGGGTCTCCGTTCAGCTGAACAAGCGGGGAGGGGGAGCAGGACGGGAGGCAGTGGCTCTGGCGGCGGCAGCACGGCAGCATCGTTGGGGTTCCTCACCACTGCCCCTGGCCACCACCCCGTTGTGTCCTCAACCAAACGGGCGGGGAGGGGGAGCAGACGGGAGGCAGCGGTGGTGGCACGGCAGCATCGTCGGGGGTCCCCACTGCCCCCGCTGGGACTCCACACTGCCCGGCCTTGCCCTCCGCCCATTGATGGAGCTGCGGTGGAGGCAGCAGGAGGAAGGAGAGGAAGCAGTCATCCCAGCCGGGACTCCGCGCTGCTCGTCCTCCGTCCATCGATGGAGCTGCGGTGGGGGCTGGTGTCGCGTGGCCTGCCAGCCCTCTGCCAGCCCGGCTGCTCCCCCCCAGGTACCCCTCTTGCTCCGGCATTTGCCCAAGCTGCTCGGGGGCACCAGGAGGAAGAAGGAGAGGAGGAGGGCGAGGAAACCGCTGCCACCGCCCCATCCAGGACTCCACGCTGCTCGGCCTCGCTCTCCACCCATCTGATGGAGCCGCGGTGGGGGCTGGTGCTGTGCGGCCCCTGCCAGCCGCTCTGCCAGCTTGGCTACTCCCCTCCCCAGGCACCCCTCTTGCCCCAGCACCCTCCCGAGCCGCCTTGGGGGCAGCAGGAGGAAGAAGGGGAGGAGGAAGAGGAGGGCAAGAAAGACGCCATCAGTGCCGGGCCCCAGGAGGCGGCTCTCCTCTTCTACCTTTGCTGTATCTCCTTCTTCCTTCCCGGCAGCCTGGACTCCAGTGTGCCTTCCCGGCCAGCGGGTCCAATGGTCGGGCTAGCTGGGGATCGCAGGGGCTGGTCTCCCTTGGGCCGCGGCTTGCAGGAGGGCTGGCCCGCTCAACGGAGCCTCCAGCGGGCCGCTCCCAGCAGGGATCCTGGGGCTTCCCCAGGCAGCTCCAAGGCCACGAGGCCCTGGCTACACTTCTCCCCGGGGGTGGGGCACCTGGGCGCAGGGCCAATCAGGAGCCCTGCAGGAGGTAAGTCCACCTGAGAGAGAGAGAAGGGAAGCGAAAGTGCCTCTCTGTCTCTCTGCAAATGGCGGAGGAGGCCATGCGGAGCGGTGTCTCGGTTCCTAAGACCATTGGAAATATGTGTTTTCCGATGGTCTTAGGCGACACCTGTGAAAGGGTCGTTCGACCCCCAAAAAGGTCGTGACCCACAGGTTGAGAACCACTGGTCTAGAGAGAGTAGCTGAGGCAGAGTTACCATAGGCAATTCTCAGTTGCTAATAGTGTATCCAGGTTTTGTACTTCAATCTTTAAAACCTTGCCTTGAACGTTCAGGGGCCTATGAGTGTAGAAACAGAGCTCGGTATAAAAGTGGTTGTAGTTTCCTGTAGAAATTCTGCTGAGTTTGGTATTAAAAGAAACAGATCATGGGTGAGTTTTGTCATTTGGAGAACAAAATGTTTTCAACGTGTAAAATTAGTTCTTGAAGGTCATTAGGTCTGTCTTGGAGAATCATGTCAGTACATAGTACACAGGGCATTTCAGTTACTGTTTGAATTTTTCACCTGTAGTATCCTAACACTATGTAGTCTAAGTGTCTATATTTAAACTAGGTCTAGGAAGAAGATCCACATGATAATAGCATGGATGGGCTAAGTGTTGGATCATTGTTGCTTTCCCTACCACCACAGTGACTAGGAATCCCTGGTTTCAGATATTTTTTTTCTTTTGCACTAATCCAACAAGGTACAGTGGGATTTCATGGCTTTCCTCAAACAGTATCAAACATGTGTCTGCAGTATAGTTATCCTTCATAAGAGACCTTAGAAACGGATCATTATTTCTGTTTCATTCTTCTATGTTCCCAGAAGGTGGGGCTAAAGTGTCAAACTGCCTTGTGCTCTTAAATGCCCACTGACAGACTTAGGAAAAAAATGTAGACAAAATAAGCAATCCTCAAAATAGCCACAAACCTTTTAGAAATATAATTTACAGAAGATAATAGATGCTAAATAAAATATTCTCAGAACTCAGTTGGCACAAAACCGTGGCTTACTGAACTCAGATGGTTCGTATATCTGAGAGCTTATAGAGAGAACTATGTTAGAAATGTAAGATAGCATGCAGAATAAAAGTATCTGAAGCTCTTGATTGCTTTGGAAAGACAGTTGTGGGGTGATGCTTAATGATAGATGTTCAGAATGAAGTGAATGGCTTATGATGTCACTACAGATATAGAATCTAGGGACTGTTGCCATAACCTCTTCTCCTTTTTTATAAGTCTTCCATAAAGGGTCTTTTCTTAAGAGATTTTAAAAAAAGTTATGTATAGAATAATTGAACAGTGACAAAGTTAGGATTATCTAGTTTGTTTCTGCTTGTTTTCTCTTTTTATTTTTTTGCTTTTCTGAGGATATATGGCTGATTATATTCTAGTTGGAAGTACAGTAGATACTTTCCAAATTTGTTGGATTGGTCATATAGGACTGATTGTGGGATTGTATTATAGGTATACCTTGCTTAATTAGTACTCTGTTTAGTGATTGTTCGAAGTTTTGGTACTGAAAAAGTACTTTTTGCAATCAATCCTCACATGTATGACTGTGACAGTGTCCCATGGTAATTTGATTGCTATTTGTGCACTTTACTACAAGCAGAGTCAATGGAGAAGCTGGCAGTAAAAATCTCATGTCATGGTCATGTGATGTCTTGCTTAATAACCCATGGTGAATTGCTTAATGACCAAACGGGAAATAACATTATTACTCAATCATACACATGTTTTGCTTAGCTACAGAATTGCTGGTCTGAATAGTCCTAAGTGTGGACCATCTTTAAGGGAATATTGCCTTATTTACGGGAGGGGGGGAAAGGAAAGAAACAAAATAAAAGCATAGCTTTAGGTCTGTCAATAAAAGCTGAATGCTGTAATTAATAAGTAGCAAGGAAATAATTGTCCAATGAATTGTGAGATTTAAAATGTCAGAATGGCAGGGCTGGCTTCACTTTTAGCCCATTTTGTTGCATGCCACAAATTTTGAAATCCTTAAAAAAACAAGCAACAATTGTATGGTATGATTCCTGCGTAAAGACATTTTAAGTCTACAGGCTCCCTATCTGTATATTAGATTTTACTGCAATGTAGAAAGATACAGAAAATATGTTGCTTAGGCAGATCAGGTCTTTTGTAGTGGTTTTTATAATGTAGATAAATTCAAAGTTTGACTAAGAATCCAATTTAACAAATTGATTGGTTTTACTAATAAACATTCATATGAATATCAGTTTCCTATCACGTTGAAGCTATTTGTGTTACAGCTTCCTTATTAGTCTCCAACTCTAAATTATGTTTTGCCAAATGTATTCTTCATTGCTTGTCAAGATGTGCATTTTCCTTTGTGGTTGACCTTATGGATGGGTGGAAAACTAAACATGACAGACACTAATATTTATTTTCTTGCAAGGATATTTTATATAGCTAGTGCCAAAGATTAGCATTCAGAAGATAAATTGGAAGTTAATCTATATTTCCCCTCAAAGAGATACTAATATCTGAGGGCAGCTGATCATCATGATACCAAGGGTTTAAATAATAATAAAGATTAAAGATCTCTCAAGGGTATTGTTTAATGTTTTAATGTTTATTAATGTTTATTGACAAGGTTAATTCAGTCATAGAGAAAAAGAGATTTTTCATATCAAGTTATTAAAAGACCATACTGGCACTTGAATTTGAAGTAAAACGGCTTTCACATTTGGCATTAATTCTTGATGTCCTGCTGATTCACCATATCAGAACTGAGAGGTTTTCATAAATGCTTGCTGTTCCCTTTTTTCTCAGTTCTATTTGACCTCATTGCAGCTTCAGCAGTAACTGAACAAATACAGGTTTTACTTGTTCTTCTGACAAAGCAAGCTCTTCTCTGCAGATGCTTATATTTCTGTGGACTTTTAAGATTCTATTTTGAGTTTATTACAAGAAACAGTTCCTGTTTTTGAAACACAAACCCACATTTTGTAATCCAAAATATTTGTTAATAAATCTGCATTTTGTTTTTGTAAAAATATTGCATGAAAGGTTCCAGTGTTGCCCTTAGTCAAAAGTCTAGAATAGAGATTAAGATAAACATGTTTGTATGTATGTGATACTTGCACGCACATATATGCATATATCTAATACTAATACTAAAGTTGTTCTAAGGTAGCGGAAGCCAAGTATTAAATTCCTATGAAATCTTTACTTTGGTAGACATGTCATGAACAGTATGTGTTACTCAAAAAAGTCTTGCCACATATCCTTTATTGTGGAAGTACACAACTACACAACCAAATGTGTTTACTGCATTGTTTCCAAGCACTGCAGTGCAGGTCTTTTAAAAAAATGGATGAAGCCTATCCTGACTTTAAATATGTGGAATACGCTCTAGGAAGCTGTGTTTTGGTGTAAGAATCTTTGGAGACTGAAGAAGAGATTTTAGGGTTATGTGCAGGTTATTATTTATTTATATGACTGCCCATCTCACCAGGTGACTTGCGTACAAGGTTTAAAAACTTGAAAACCATAACCCTGGCACTCAAGGATAAACAGTGTCTCTATTCATAAAAAACACATCAGTAATAACAGAATTCAGCTAACCTCCTGACCCAAATCTTTAGGAAAACCTGCCTTGTGAAAAGCTAATAGGATCACGAGTATCTGAATCTCTAGGGGAATGCTATTCCATAAGTTGCCAATCCTGTTTTATTAATGTTAGTTTTCAGAATCCTTATTTACTGAATTGAGTATGCAAATATTTTAAGTAATTACAAATGTCACATTGAAGAACAAGAGTTCTGTCTAGCACTGGCTATTTTAATTTTAATACTGAATGCCCTTGAACTGAGAAGTTAAGTGTCTTTAGGCTGCTTTTAACTTTAGCTTAATGGACTAAGTCAATTTGAAAGAATTCAATTAAAGTTTGTTGAACATGTTCTTTGGTATAGAACAGGCTAAAATAAATTTAAATGTAGTAGTATATTTTTGGCCAGTTGCTATAGATTGGCAAGGATTTCCAAATCAGGAAATTTAGTTGTGGAGAAGGATAGAGAAAAACATTATCTTCCTAATTCAGATTGTGAAAATCAAGAAAGCTGAGTAGAGGGACAAATAAATCTATATATGGCTTTCAATTGTAATGTCAAAAAATCCCAGAATTGACCATGTCCTTAGAACAGTGGTTCTCAACCTTTTTAATGCCATGACCCCAACCGGTCGTAAGTTGAGGACTACCCAACCGCTCGTAAGTCGAGGACTACCCAACTGGTCATAAGTCGAGGACTTTCCCTGCCCAGGAGTGCCGCACATGCGTGGTGCTGCCCCCTGCGCTGGCCGAGGCGTAGCTGGCAAGCGGCAGAGACAGCGCAGGCCGACCACCGGCTGGGCCACCAGCTGGCCCAGCCCAAGAGAGGTAAGGCACCCGCCGGGCCCCACGCACGCCAGCAACCCTCTCTGCGCCCACTGGCCTCCCACCCGTGGCCCTCTTTTAGTTACATTTTTAGTAGTTGCTCAGCAGGGAGGGGTGGAAACTTCCACACCGTTCACCTTCGCTGCAGAAAACTTGCAGCACCATTTGCAGAATGGGACTTTTGGCAGGCTCAGCAGGGCAGAGACAGCCTGGACAATTCCTATTGGCTTTTGAAAGCCAATAGAATTAGACTCTATTCAAGAGAGTCTATTCTATTGGCTTTCAAAAGCCAATAGAATAAAAGGGAGGAGCACAGCTAAGGAAAAGGGGGAAAAATGGCGGACTGCATTGTTTGGCGACCCCCATGAAATGGTCGTTCGACCCCAAATGGGGTCCCGACCCACAGGTTGAGAACCGCTGCCTTAGAAGCTGATTCCTTTGCTATTCAGTTTTTGTATTGTCAAGTAATTAAAAATCTGGAGATTTTTGTAAAACAATATAATACAAAACAAAAGATCTGATCTTAAAACTTCAGGTGGGTTTAGATTGTCCTGTTCTTAGGTTCAACAGTTTTCCCCCTAATATAGCTGAAAAACTGGACTCATTTGATCTGGGATTTGACTCATTATCTGGGATTAGATTCTTTTAATAAAAACAAAACAAGGAGTCTTGTGGCGTCTTATTTTGTGGCCATGTCCTCTTCATTAGATGGATAAAGTCCTATGTGAGAGATGTTATAGTACATATAGATGCAGTGGGAAGAAAATAGGCAGAATAAATCCATCTTACATGTCTTCCCTATTTTTCTCATGCCATAGTGGATAGGCTCTAAAGATAATTTGCTTTTTTTCTTTAAATGATACTAAACCTCTAGCAAATACAAGGATGTAAGCAGAACACTTAAAAGTCTTCACTCATGTTCATTAAAAAAATAAGCAAGGATTACTTGATCTTTTGCCATTGAAGTGATATTTTATTACAGCTTTGTATTGATTTGGGTCCCTTCCAGTTTCTTATTTGCTTTATATTAGCCTGCACGTATTTTAATGCCATAATTTCACTTTACCATTTGCAGTATAGATGGCATTGCACTGAATTTTCAACTTTGAAACCCAACCATAGAGCCATTTCTAAGAATACTTACTGTTCTTTTGATTGTAACAAGTAGTCCAATGGATGGTTGTTTTGTAGATACAAGTAAAGCAATGCTGAGTAAGTTGCATACATTTTCTATATTGCTGCTAAAAATGATAAATGATTTTCCCCAAATAATGCAAGAGACTGTTTCCTAGTGCACGCTTAGTATATGGCTCAACCTAAACTCTCACCCCATCAAAAACACAGATTCGGAGAAATGAACCATGTTCACACCTATCCGTAGGTTCCTCTTCCTTAAGGTGACTCAGGCAGCTTATCCCTTCCCTGAGCTGTCTTGCCTTTTCTCCACTCTGCCTGGCCTCCTGCTGGTCTATCCTTTTGATCTGAGTCCAAAGCCATTCTGTCAAAGCCAGAGAATGAGATGACAGGGTAGCTTGCTTTTTCACACCAAGGCTTCTTTGTTGCTTAAAATACAAGTTCTTTTAAAAAGCGCTTTGGGGGGCATTTTCAGTCCAAAGTGTGGTTGCATCTCATGACTTAAATTAGGACTTGTAACTAAGACTATTTTGCAGAAGATAAAAATTTGTGTGCTTTTGAAATTCAGTTTTTTTTTAGTTGCTTCTGTTGTATAGTAAAACTTTTAACAATTCAGAGTTATTTTTGAATGCTTATTGTAAGTTCCAAATTTGTCCTTTAATTCTATAAGACCTACAATGGTCTTCGACTCACAAACATTTGTTTAGTGACTGTTCAGAATTGTTGCAGCACTGAAAACTTACTTTTGACTGGTCCTTGCACTTACTGACCTTCACTGTGTCTCAGTCACATGATCAAAATTCAGGCCTTTGGCACCTGGCATGGATTTATGATGGTTGCAGTGTCCCAAGGTCATGGGATTGCCACTTGCAACCTTCCCAGCCAGCTTCCAAAAAGCAAAATCAATGGGAGAAGCTGGATATGATTAATGACTGCATGCTCCACTTAACAATCACGGTGATTTGCTAAACAATGGCAAAAATGATCGTAAAATTTGGCACGACTCAATTAACAACTACCTTGATCCCAGCTATGGTCATATGTTAAGGACTATCTGTTTATTTTACCGTGACAAATAAGCCATTATTTATGGTGGCAAATCATATTTATTTTGTCATTCACTATGTGCTTTCTTTAAGTTGTTAAGCACAGACACGATATGAAGCAGGCATAATATAATAAACAGTTAAAATTATGATGACATTAGTTTCTTCATTATTTGAATGTCATTTTGTATACATCAACAGGACACAAAATTATGGATAATAATGGAATACCTTGGTGGTGGATCTGCCCTTGACCTTGTAAGTAACCAGTTTTTATTACAATTTCTATAATTCTTCTGAATTTTTAAATATTGTCTTGTAGGCTTTTTTGTCTTATATACATCATAAAAATAGATCTATGGCCACTGAACATGTAAATTTCACAAACAGAATTTTAATTATTCATGTAGCAAGGGAGAATTATACATGCATTACTGAAAAAAATCTTGGTTGAATAATATTAGAAACTTGTTTAGCTTATGGGTATCAAATTGCAGTGTTTATTTTTCTAGTCAAAGTGCAGATGGATGGGTCTTTCACCTGCAAACCATACCCTGCAACTCTATTCATGGATGGGCCTCATAGAAACATGCATGTTTGCTACACCCAAAAATAAATATTTGAGGGATTAACATGTTAAACCTGAAAGACCTAAATTCAAGTGCATTCTCAGGCAAGAATGCTTCTGGGTACTTGACAGAATTATTGAGCATTAGAACAAGTTTTAATAAAATTAGAATAAATAAAAATGTACTTTATTGGACTTCATTGTTTTTAGTTATTGATCATTAATTATTTGGACTTTTGTCCTGAAAATAATGTATCTCTTCTAGTTAGAACCAGGTTCACTTGATGAAATCCAGATTGCTACAATATTAAGAGAGATTCTGAAAGGACTCGATTATTTGCATTCAGAAAAGAAAATTCATAGAGATATTAAAGGTAAAACTATTGAGGTTCTGTTAGCATTTTAACAATTTAAGCTTAATTTTTCAAATTACAAATTTCTTCTAAAAATATTTTCTAGCTGCTAATGTGCTCCTCTCAGAACAAGGGGAAGTCAAGCTAGCAGACTTTGGTGTAGCCGGACAATTAACTGATACACAAATAAAGAGAAATACATTTGTGGGCACACCATTTTGGATGGCGCCAGAAGTAATAAAGCAATCAGCTTATGATTCAAAGGTAAGATTAATGTGCTACTTAATATTTTCAGGCATCACTCAGAGCTGTATTCTTTTATCTTTGTTAGAAGACAGAAACATATTTTGCACTGTGAGATGTGCAAATGTGCATTTGGCAAATCATCTGTGGGAATTTTTATAAAAGAGAGCACAGCCATTCCATGGTTTCTAATTGTAATTTCCACACGTGGAATGATATGGGAATGCTGGAAAAGATCTGTATTTTCCATGTAGTTTGTGTTATGGTTTCAGTCACATTCTGAAATACTTTAGAAACTTAATCTGTGTGGCAGAAAATTGTAGGAGATTGAGAGCTGGTCTAAATAATAATAGTAATAGTAATAGTAGTAGTAGCAGTAATAATAATAATAGTAATAATAATAATAATAATAAAGTTGGAAGGGACCTTGGAGGTCTTCTAGTCCAACCCCCTGCTCAGGCAATAGATGAGCTTTACAGAAAAGGTCTGTGGATTTCCAATAAATTTTTATTTTATTGGAATGAAGACTATTATTAAAAATGGAGAAAGTATGTAAAAGATTCTTTCAAGGGTATTGGCTTTACTTGGTGTGTCATGAGAATCATCCTTAACATATTAAAATTATTTTCTTCATTTTGAATACATTGCTCTGATGAAGAATAACAGTAGAAACTTATAGGCAGGCTCTTCAATAGGCCGGATGACATGAATAAATGCATGATGATGATTTAAAATTTGAAATGAAAAGAAACTGATTTCTTTGGTTATTGTCAACTGCTGGTTATTTTTGTACCAGCTAAAATAATGCAGTTTTTATATCACCTGATAGGCAACTGATGACAACAATTCTTTTGTAGCTGCCATTTACAATATGTAGGTTGCTCATTATAAAGAAATCCTGGAGAGCATCAGAGAACAGTTGTATCATTTCTAGAGACCAGGTCTACTAAGAGAAGTAGATTTGGCCTCTGTGAAATATGTATATTATGCCCAAATCCATTTCTACCCTTGGCTAAAACTCTTTTTCATCTTTTTCACTAATATGGTGTTCCTTGACTGAGGTTAATGTAAAAGGCAAGCTCACTTGCTCAGGCTTGCAACCCTGGGCATTTCTTTGCAAGTAGCTGCCTTGGAAAGTTGACTCAGAAAGTTGACTATAAGCATTTCATGCATATTCTACTTTTGTAGCTAAAATTAAGAAGCAGAGAGGAAAACAGGTACATTTGAAAATGAGTAGTTGGTAAAACAAATACTTTGGCCACCTAATGAGAAGGAAGGACTCACTGGAGAAGAGCCTAATGCTGGGAAAGATTGAGGGCAATAGAAGAAGGGGACGACAGAGAATGAGGTGGCTGGATGGAGTCACTGAAGCAATAGATGTGAGCTTAAGTGGACCCCAGAAGATGGTAGAGGACAGGGAGGCCTGGAGGAACGTTGTCCATGGGGTTGCGACTTTGCAACTAACAACAACAACAAGTTGGTAAAAAGATAGGAAGCATGTAAATGATTTCACTTTTTCATTTCTGTCAAATAATAAACTCATCCCTCTGTTAATAGGCAGATATATGGTCCCTGGGCATAACAGCCATAGAGCTTGCGAAAGGAGAACCACCACATTCCGAACTACATCCAATGAAAGTTTTATTTCTGATCCCAAAGAACAACCCACCAACTTTAGAAGGAAACTACAGTAAACCTTTAAAGGAGTTCGTTGAGGCCTGCTTGAACAAAGACCCCAGTTTTGTAAGTTACTAGATTTTGGTGGATGTCTGTGCATGTTGTAGCAGCAGAAGAGCTGATTCCATGTTTTTTTGTTTTCCTAGGAATAAACCTACATGAATGTTCATGCCATTTAATATTTATTTTAAAAATAAAAAGCATACCAGCTAAGAGTTAAATCTAAACAAGTTTTATGTTCGTTACTCAAAACCAAGGATGGTGTACTATCTTCATTTGAAGAAGTATACATTTTCTATTTCAGTCCAGTGTTTCTCAGCCTGGCACTTCTTTACACTCATTTTATTAATGGCTTTTGCAGCTTGCTGTAAGTTTTACTTCTGTCCTACTCACAGTTTGTTCACGTTCTGTATAAAATAGGATATTTGGAACTGTTCCATAATTGAAAACTTGTGGAAAGTTTGAAACAGTGAAGGTCTGAAATAAAAACATTTTTATTTTTTCTAGTTTCAGATTTTCTCCTTCCCTAAAACTGGGAAATGAAAAAAAGTTTTATGAAATATTAATATTTTATTTTGAATGATACATAAGGCACTTAAGATGTGAAAGAAATATACCAACTCAAGAAATAAACAGGGGAAAAGTGGAAAAATATATTCAAATATATTTTTATAAATACAGTTTATGCAAAACTTATATTTATAGAAACTCATGAAAATAAAATAGTATCAATAAAGAATGAGAAGTAGTAAGTGCTGGGAATGGTAACATTTCAGATTCATTACAGGAGACAAATTGGACTGTTTCACTTGGAAAAACATGTATTCTCTTTCTACACAACTTACGTCTAAAACAGAGCTTTCTGTATCTGTCTGATAAAATTGTAAAAAAAATATTTAGAAACATCCATATCTTGATTTACAGCGTTGATGGTTTCTTATTCCCCACATTAAACAAAAAGAGAAGCTCCTGAGAGTTTACCCGCTTATTTTGCCACAAGAATTAAAACATTATAATGTAAATTCAAAATAAGCATAATTGCTATTTGAATAAATGGTACTTTTCCATTATATGAAAAATGTACTTTTAGTAATAAAACCAAATTATACACAATCTATAAAGAGCAACTGCAGAACAAAATCTTTTTTTCTGATTATATGAGGTTCTGAGGCATGAATAAATGGATGGAGGTGAGATCAATAGGATTGATAACAAGAGCTGTATAAATAATAGCTCTTTTATTTTCATTGATTCCCTTCCCCCATTGCTTCAAAACATGTGGAAATTTTTATCACTCTTATCAAGATGGTTGGCCAATAAATTTAAAAAATAAGTAAGCAGATAAATAAATTTAGCCGTATTATAACTGAACAGTTTAGTAAAGAAACTTACTTTCTATTTTTAAGAGACCAACAGCCAAAGAACTCCTGAAGCACAAATTTATAATACGAAATGCAAAGAAAACTTCTTACTTGACAGATCTCATTGACAGACATAAAAGATGGAAGGCTGAGCAGAATCATGATAATTCCAGCTCTGAAGATTCAGATGGGTGAGTGTGAGTCCAAAAGTTATCAATTTGGTGTTTGAGAATAAAGGAATACTTCAGATATGATGGATGAGATTCACAGTGAGGTTCAGAAATCTATTCTTAGATGTGTTCAAATCAATCTTTTAAAAAGTAGCAAAAGATTTATGGCTAATATTTAGTATATGTTCTTGAAAATTATATTCAAATAAGTATGTGCAGACTCTACCATTCTAAGAATAGAATATTTTAGAGAAATCTAGAACATCTCATGCCTTATCTCAGTGTTTCTAATTCTTGGCAATTCTAAGAAAGATGGACTTCAACTCTCATGACTGCCTGGGGAATTCTGGGAGTTGAAGTCCATACATCTTAAGAGTTGCAAAGGCTGAGAAATACCGTATATGCCGGCGTATAAGGCGACTTCCGCAAGCGCTAAAATCGGTGCCAAAGACAGGGGTCTTCTTATACACCAGAAATACTGGTAGTTTCCGGCGTATAAGACGACGTTCTAGGAATGCGGCCCGGCGATAAAGACGGGGGTCGTCTTATACGCCGGGTCGCCTTGTACGCCGGCATATACGGTATTGCCTTATCTGAACATTCTAATTAAGCTATTGTAAGGGTTATTTGATGCTTTTTGGGGAAATTAATCTTCTGAAATATTTTGTGGCATTCATGTAAAACTCAATTCTGTTACCACTTTATGTACAGAAATTAAAAACTGAATTATTATCCATCATCCTTGATTTTGAAGGGTGTCTTCAAGGTCTTGAAAATTTCTTGAATTTCTCTTAGAGGCTTTCTCCATAACCTTAGTCTTTCCACTGGCCATATCCAATTCCCTTTCTTACTGATTCTTAGTATGAATCATACAAATTGATCTTATAATTTGAGAAGAAAATGTAGGGAATAAATATATTCTCTATAGTGGGAAGGAGAAAACAGGATAAATGTTAGGTTATTCTCTATTGTATATTGTATCTATTTGAAAGAACAGCTTGATTGTTATATATTCACAAATATGATACATAGAACATAGAATAAAAGAGTTGGAAGAGACCTTGAAGGTCATCTAGTCCAACTCCCTGCACAAACAGGAGAGTATATACCATTTCAGACAAGCTATTCAGTCTCTTCTTGAAAGCCTCCAGTGATGGGGCACCCATAACTTCTGAAGGCAAGGCATTCCACTGGTTGATCGTTCTCACCGTAAGTAAGTTTCTCTTTAGTTCTAGGTTGCTTCTCTCCTTGATTAGTTTCCATCCATTGGTTCTTATCTTGCCTTCTGGTGCTTTGGAAAATAGTTTGCCCCCCTCAATCCCTCAAATACTGGAACACTGTTATCATATTTCCCCAGTCCTTCTTTTTACTAGACTAGACATATCCATTTCCTGCAACTGTTCTTCATATATCTTAGTCTCCAGCCCCCTAATCATCTTTGATACTCTTTTCTGCACTCTTTCCAGAGTCAACATTTTTTTTTTATATTGTGGTGACCAAAACTGGCTGCATTGTTCCATGTGTACTAAGTACTAAGGCTTTGTAAAGTGGTACTAATACTTCACGCGATCTTGATTCTGTCCTTCTATTAACGCAGCCTAGGATTGCATTGGCTTTTTTGGCTGCTGCCGCACACTGTTGGCTCATATTTAAGTGATTATCCACTAGGACTCCAAGATCCCTCTTATAATTGCTGGCATTCAGCCAAGTTTGACCTAGTCTATACTGTACAGTTGGTTTTTCTTGTCTAAGTGTAAAACCTTTTATCTACATTGAATTTCATTTTATAAGACAGGGTCCAGTATTCAAGTCTGTCGACATCCATCTGGATCTTGAGCCTATCTTTTAGGGTGGTGGCTATTCCTGCCAGCTTACTGTCATCTGCAAATTTGATGAGTTCCCCTTCTATTCCCTCATCTAAATCCTTTATGAAGATATTGAAGAGTACTGGGCCTAAAACTGAACCCTGAGGTACCCTACTACTTACTTTGCTCCATGTGGATGTAGTTCCTTTGAGGACTACACGTTGAGTATGGTTTGTCAGCCAATTACAAATCCATATGGTTGTTATGCTGTCTATCCCACATTTTTCTAGCTTACCAAGAAGCAGGTTGTGATCTACTTTGTAAAATTTTGCCAAATACAAAATTTGGCGAAGTAAATACAAACATTACTTTGTCAAATACAAAATCTTACATTTTGTAGCATTTTGACTTGCTACTAAAAGCTTTTTCCTTCTGCTCACAGACTTCCAGAGATGACTTATTTTAACTTGAACAGACATTAACACTTTAATCAAGACAAATAATGGTGGTATAAACTACTATACTGCTTGCTTGCTTTAATTTGGTTCCTACAAGTTTCCAAGAGATATAAAAATAGAGGAGGCTTGTTATCTGAGCTAAATTTAGGAGCCTTAATTCCTAATTAATAAAAGCATCTCTCGCAACATTTTTTATTTCTAATATAATTTAGATTTTTGTTGTTTTGCTTAAAACATGATTTTCTATTGTCATCAGTTCATCGTAAATAACAAGACCATTTTGTAAATGTCAGAAATTTATTTGTGTTAAAGTGAAACAGATGAGCAGGCATCAGGTGGCAGTGATTCGGGTGACTGGATATTCACAATCCGAGAAAAAGATCCTAAGAATCTAGAAAACGGAGCGACCCAATTCCATGAGTGGGAAAGAAACAAGGTATTTTACTATTATTAATATTGTGAAACATTATTATTGTTGTAGTATTTTAAACAGTAATGCCTATTTTGATGGCTGCCTTATCTTGAGGTCTTTTCTAAATTGTGAGGATCCAATTCTATGCAGATTGAAAACTCAAATGTAAAAAACCTTGTGCTGTTTTCCAAGGTTGTTGTTTCTTTAAGACAAATTGTTTTCTCAAGGTTGGCTGTTGCAAAGCAGCACAAAGTACAGTATGAATTATTGTTTGATTACCTGTTGCTAGCTCTTATGTGTTGTCTATCCTGCAAGTTGGAAAGTCTGGACAGTCATCATCTTATTTAGAGTCAGTTGAAAGGGCAGCAGTGGCTGAAATCCAAAGAACTGGAAGTCTGCTTATGTTCTCCAAAACACCATGAGCCCAATTGTCTCCAGCTCTGTTTTTGCAATCCCTAAAGTAGTGTTTTTTAAATTTGGCAAGTTTAAGATGTATGAACTTTGACTCTGGGAGTTGATGTCCACACATCTTAAACTTGTAGTTTTCTCATAGTTGAAGCACACATCTTAAACTTGCCAATTTGAAAAACACTGCCCCAAAGCATCCTTAGATTGCTATCACTGCAATTTAGCAGCAAAGCCTTTCTCTCCCTAAAATTACATTGAAAAGTTAGCAAAAGTTTTCAGCAGCAATATTTTTCTCTTTTTGAGGGCCAAAATAAAGGTTGCATGTTTATATCCTCAAATTCCACCCAACCTCCCCTTTCCAAACAGATGGAAATGCTGGCCCTGCTTACTCTTCTGAAACTCTCATACCTGATTTGAGAGCAGTTGACCACCTGTTCCAATGAAAAGCTCAAGAGGCGATTCAAAAGAATCCTTGATTCAACATTTGAAGACCTATTGTTGGAGAGAAAAAAACAGCAGTTGTAGAATCGGTGTAAACCTCTATTCTTGTATTCCCTTCTCTTATTTTGTTTTTCTTTCTGACTGACAGGAAATCAGCTTATTCCAAAGTTCCATCAGATATGTGTATTTTGCTACATTTAATTTTTCATTTGAGGATTGAATGCATTGTTCAGTTCTAATAGGCTCTTTGCCTTGCACATAATTTGATATATATCTATTAATTTTTTGTAGCGTAAGAACTTAATAAGCAATTATACAGGCAATCTGGCTTCTTAACAAGTCTTTATATTCTCCTTTAACTAATTTGCAGTGTATTTTTTTTTCCTGAAAGGAAAATACCATTCAAAGGCGCCCTGCATCTCGATGCTTATCTACAATTATATCGCCATTATTCACAGAGGTAATATCATTGTATTAATCATTTCTTCTCCCATATAGAGATTGTATGAAAAAGCTGGAGAAAATAGGGGAAAATTATGTTCTTATAAGCGTACCTTTCAAGCATTTTGAAAGAGAAGCTGCTCAACTCTTGTGATACATAGGAAGAGGATTTAATGAATGATTGCATGTTGGAAGCTTAACTTGGTGCCAAGTTTTTTAATGCTTATGATTTTAGTATGGTTTTATGTTGTTTTTCTTGCTATTGTTTTAATTTTTGTTTGGAAGCCGCCCAGATTTTGATATAAGATGGGCAATTATACAAATTTTTTAAATAAAAGATTTTGATGTGTTCAGAAAAGCCCTGAATTGCATTCTTTTAGAGCAACTGGGGATCCTGGATAGGGTTTTTAAAAGGCCATCCATGTTATTGACTCCAGGATTGCTTCCACCAAAGGTGTAAGGTGGGGGGGAGCATACATTGATCTTGACATGGTGGTTGTCACAGCAAAATTGTGGCAAGTGCCACGTTTTGGAGTGACAACATGTATTTGTTTTAGTTTAATTATATTTAGTTCAGTGTATATACATACACATAAACTTGTAGTGCTGGGGTCAAAATTAATTTTGCATTAATATCAAAACATGGTTTTTTCAGTCTCCTGGCCCAGAGTCCAGGGGAAGAGCCATGTCACTTCTAAAAACCAGCATGGTTGGAAGCATCCAGATCTCAGGGCAATGATGGCCTTTCCAAATCCCACTTGATGCACTGTTTAATTGATGGGATCCAAACTTTTTGGGTAGGCAGCAACACTGATAGATAGCCCCTTAAATATCCTCTAGTTTACCATGGAGGAGTTTATGCATGATAGATAACCAGTACCTTGTTTTACAGCTAGAAACCTTCTGATAAAAAGTATTATATACCCATAATTACCTGTACTGCTGAACTGTGAATCAGCTGTAGCATGCAAGTGATCTTCAAAGGGAGTCCCATTTAGAACGCCTTGTAATAATCCCATGAAGAAGTCACTAAGGCATGCGTGTCAATAGCTGAGCCTCCCAGTCTAGGCATGGTTGCCATAGACATGCAAAATGGATTTAGGCAAAAGCCCTCTAGCCAAGACTGCCATTTGCTCCAAAAGCATGAGTTGCAAGACCAGGAGTATCCCCAGATTGCCAACAATTTGTGACTGGGGCAGCCCAGTCCTCTCCACAAAAAAAGACAGAGGATCTCCGTGATCTAGTCGTTCTAAATCACACAGCGCTTGATCTTGTTAGGGCTGAGCCTGAGCCTTTTCTCCATCCATACCCTCACAACCTCCAAAATGGAGACGGAGCCTTGAAGACATTACTTAGGTGAAACAGGAGCCGAGTTATCTGTGTCACCAGATGACCTCCCTCATCAGCTTCATGTGAATGTTAAATAGGAGAGAGGAGTCTGCCAAGCTCTGAGACATCCCACATGCAGGGGGGTAGGGCTAGACTTCTCTCTGGAACTGGCCTTGAAAGAAGAAAGAGGAGCCTGCTTCTTTCCCATGGCTTTAAGGCCAATTGAGAGCAGGGTGGGTCGAGAAACCAGCAACAGTGGGAGAACTTGGCTCGTCTTCCTTTGTGATGCCACAAGGGGAAAAAAAAACTCCCAGTGCTGTCGTATGTGAAGCTGTTCCACATAGACTTAACTAGGCATTTAGTACTGCAGTTCCTACTTTGCCGTTTCTTAAACGGTTATTCATGCTGAGTGTTGGTCAACAGTAAGATCTTCCTTTTAAAAAGGCAATAAAAATATCTTTTTGTGGATTGTACCAGAGGAAGTTCACTTCCAGTTTCAAATGCTAGTAGGATTTTAAATGTAGTGAAAATGATGAGGTGTAATAAATCTTTTTTTTTAGAACACCTCAGCCTCACTTGTATTGCTTCCCTCTATTTTTAAAAAGGATTTCTAATGTAGGGAAAGAGGAGTGGTAAAGAGCAAGAGTAGTAGTTGTGATCAAAATAACAGAAATGGTACTGTTGTGTTAGCAGTGTACCATCTGGATTATGGCTCCTATGTAAATTGACAAACGGGTGCTAATTTAAAGCTCGTTTCCTTCCTAGAGTTCCATAGAAAATGTGTATTTTCTAATTTGCATTGATTTAAGGCTTATTCAGACTCTATAAAATGGTTTATATGCACCACACAATCTCTAGACAAAGCACAGAGCTCTGTTGTTATTATTTTTTATCCATACACATTTATTTTGCAAATGTTTCAGATGCTTAGAACTAATCCCCTTCTGATTTTTAGTTGAAAGAGAGAAGTCAAGCTTGTGGGGGGAACATGGGCTCCATAGAAGAACTGAGAGAGGCTATTTATTTAGCTGAAGAAGCTTGCCCAGGAATTTCAGATACTATGGTGTCTGAACTAGTACAGCGGATTCAGAGGTAATAATTAATTACAATAATAATAACAATTACAGCAACAACATTCATTTTGGACAGTTACTACACACATTTCCTATCATTATTCATAGTAAAATCATTGGAGCTGTGTTCGGTCTTTATAAAAAGGATGATGACGATGATATTCTTAGAATGTGTAGAATACTTGTTAATGTACTAAAAATAGCAGCATAAACTTAAAAGTAGTTTTAATTTTTATTGGACTGTTCCTATTGGACCGTAGCAAATATTAGCTTCTATCAGAATAGGGTCAGCATGTATTTTACTGATGGAAATATTTGCCTTTTTGTTTTGATGTTGGGGAAGTTAAGCAAGCATCCCTGCTGAAAGTCGCAGATCCTTCCAGAGTAGCCAATGTGTTTTGGCTATCTCAATTTCAGATATAAAATCAGGAAAAAAAGCTCATAATATTCTTTGATGGTGAAAATTGTTTTATATACTGTGTATTGCATTTATTGGCCATTGGTACTCTATGTTTAGAATTTTTTTTTAAACCTATAAGAAAGGTAGCTTTGGAAAGCTGGTTCCCAACCTTAATTCTTGCTCAAGACTCTGCTTTTAAGTGCAAGAGTATATTTTTCTAAAATATTGCAACAGAGATATTTTTTATTTGCTGTGTAAAACATCTTGTTCACTACTTTTGTTTTAATGACATGCTTTTTCCCTTCCCAGGTATTCAGTATCTGGAGGGAGCAGTTCATCCCATTGAAGTCTGACTGTGTGACCACTTTTGGTACTCCACTGAGGCTCCTGCAGGCACCTGTTCTCAGGTTGGTCTTCCACAATTGGCAGGCAATCACATGGACATTCCTGAAGGTGTATCAACAACAGAAGAAGGTGTTTTAGCAAGAGCACTATTTTTCAACTCTGTATAGGTTTTTTTTAAAAAAAGAAAAATAATGCACATATTCAAAGGAGGTATCTTTATACATTTCTGAGATGTAAATTTAGAATTTCAGTTAGGAACTAAAGCTATTGTGAAATCTCAGGTATCTTGTGTTAAGTCATTGGCCTTCAGCTCAAGGATCCATAGATGGGTGGCATTTCAACCTGAAATGTGTGCACTAGTGGCACTGCCACCATTTACTTTGTTTTAAGGTTTTATTTCAAGAAAGAAATGGAAGCCTGGAATTCAATCCCATGTTCCATGTTTACATTTAACATGGATTTGGGGTTTGAAAGAGTTGAAGGCAACCGCTTTAAGTAAAAAAAATATGTGAATTGGATGTATTATTGGCTCTGTGTACAAATTTGTATATAATCACTTTTTTACTGAAATTTGTTTGACATGCATACGGATTCCTCTGTACAAATTGCCAAGTACTTCTGTAGATGATACTAGTGAGGTAAATATTTTGACAGATAGATCAACTTATTATAGGCTTGTCTTTGTTTCTATGAAAATTTTAAATTGTATTATAGCAGGTTTTGCTTGACCTTTGTTTATAGGTCAGAAATAAAGCCGTGCTATAAAAATCTGGTTTATACCTCAGATGCAGATTTTTTTTTGTTACACAGCAGCATTTTTTGTTTGTTTGTTTCTAATCATGGTACGAAACTGATTGTTTTAATTTAGGACATCATATTCTTTGGAGTTCTCTAGTTTCGCTTATCTTCATGGTTTTATATCTTGTTTAAAATTGTGCCAATCCAAAGTTTAAATTTGTTTTTTAATAGTTTTCTTTTGGAATTAATCTTAACATATAACTGAAAAAAGGCACTTTTTTATATGCTTCCTAGAAATCCTGGATAAATAATGGCAGTTTTGCAAAATGCTGGTTATAAAAAGAATTTTAAAAATATGAGCAACTTTAGTTACAATCATTGAAATCAGAATTTGGTCTTAGTTTAGTATCTGAAATTCATTGTATGGTAGAGGAAGATATATGAAATGTCATTAAGATCTAAAATAAAAAAAACTGCAGTTTCACTTTAACACAGTGGTTCTCAACCTGTGGGTCGGGACCCCATTTGGGGTCGAACGACCATTTCACGGGGGTCGCCAAACAATGCAGTCCGCCATTTTTCCCCCCCTTTTCCTTAGCTGTGCTACTCCCTTTTATTCTACTGGCTTTTGAAATCCAATAGAATAGACTCTCTTGAATAGAGTCTAATTCTATTGGCTTTCAAAAGCCAATAGGAATTGTCCAGGCTGTCTCTGCCCTGCTGAGCCCGCCAAAAGTCCCATTCTGCAAACGGTACTGCACCAGTTGAGTAGTCCTCGACTTACGACCGGTTGAGTAGTCTTCGACTTATGACCAGTTGGGGGTCGCGGCATTAAAAAGGTTGATAACCACTCCTTTAACAGGTAAGAACTAGTATAATATAATTCTTGTCTATTGTTAAAATAAATACATGATAGAAATCCCATCTGAATTTTTATTTTGAGGTATTTGGAGAAAAGTGGAATAAAATGTAGTTAAAAGGGTGTGGTTAGTCAAGAATTTTAGAAGGGGCTTGCTCTTTGTTGATTTACAATAAAATGTTTTCAATATTTTTACGCTGTTTTGATTTCAACGTGAAATCTGTATTGTAATCTTAAAAAAATAAACAGTAATTCTAAAAGACAACTTGCTATAGACGATTTCACCCTATGACCAAGGCTTGGGTGAAAATCTCCTTTCTACTTTGTTTTGAGAAAAACATAATGGATTAAGGGATAGGCACATTGTGTCAATGGAAATGAACTCACTGCATGTTTAGAACCTGTAATATCCTCATCAGTGTAAAGATTGAACTATTTACTAAATTTTACTGCCTTATATTTGAGTCAGCCATGCTGCCATCCCATTAGAGTGGGTGTGATGTTAACGGAATGGATTTTGTGTTAATTTCTACCCCAATGTTTACAGTCTGAAATTTAGCATGATGTAAGCTACATGTTGAATTAGGATAAGATAGGTGAGAGATCTCTTTTGAGTTTTCAGCTAAGCTTATATGCAGTCCCAGATCTGGTAACCTTTTAAGAGTTTTGATTGCAAGAATGTTGACTGAAAGATTTTGTAAATGGAAACCAAAAAACCTCAATGACTTGCTCTTTAAAATTAGTAAATTAATATTTTGTTAGAGCTATGTTCTTTTACAAATGCGGTTTTTCCAACAAACACAGTTTATTTTAAACCAGTTAAAAGATTACTATTTTGCCAGTTTGCTGTTTGAGCCAGTGCAGTTTATTTAAATATCAGTTTGACTTAATCCCAATAAATTGTAAATATGCATAGAATTTTAAAATGACATCGTTTGATATAAATGAAACAACTTGGTGAAAGCAAATTGTCTTTGCATTATATTGTAATGAAGTTTAAATTCTAAAACACCTTTTGTTGTTTTGAGTCCGTTTTTACTCTGACTGTTTAACTTTAGAGTACTGTTTATTGATCCTTTAAACATTGTTTTAGAACTGTCCTTAAAAAAAATCCAGCATTGCAGTGTTGTATGTATTCAGGATTATTCTTTGGCAATTGATAGCAGTTTCCTGTGTATTAACTAAGGTAATATTTCTGTCGTAACCATTTTACTTAAGGGCACCAAAATTTGCTGATGTAGAGTGGAGAAAGTAAGCCAAGTCTTTCAAACTGCAAAGGTTTTCTATCTGGGTCTGTTGGGCCACTTTTTAAGTATTAATTAAAAGATATATTTCCATCATAGCCACACAGTTGTAAACGAACTCTGAGACCACTGGTTTTTCTTGTGAAATTGTGAGAAGTTGTTCCTGTTTACTCACATTGAGGTGCCACCCTCCGCATACACCCCTTGGAGTTCATTGCACTATATTTTGTTTGGTTCTTGACCCTAATATGAAGCATTTTGTATGTTACATAATTTTCAGTATTGATATTTTTGTAATAGTTTGGAACCCATTGATAATAGTGGTGCTTTCAATAATAGTGGAATTTTGCAGTCATTAGTGCACACGGGTGTATTGTATTTTGGCTTATATATGTATCAATGAATGGAAGAATTTAATTTTGAACTTGAAAGATGACAGGTATTTTGGATACAAAGTCCTGAAATATATAGGCAGTGAGCCAAAGCACAAATATAAAACTAGACTTCATTGTGTTCTTGTAATCTGCTACTGAATTGAAGTCATAAATACACAAAATGGCAAAGCAGTTATTTTGGCATTTTAAAGGCTTACTGATATTATACAAATGTTCACGGGCAGGAGTCCGTTTTAACAACCAAATGAAATTTTACTAGTCAGCAATTATTTGTGGGTTTAGAATGCTGTGAAATACCTGTACTGGTAGAATGCAGACAACTGAATTTTGCAAAGTTACATGTAGAATTTTGCGGCTTTTCCATCTATTGATTTTCCCCCCTTTGGCACCCATAATGTATATGGACGTATACAAAATCTTAGTAACACTTGTGTACTTGACAAAGTAGAAGGTTAGTCCAGCAATGTGGAAAGGATATATTTCTTTGGTTTTCATTCCCAAAATTTATAAAATGAATTAGCAATGTAAGTTATGGCTCTTTCATTTTGTCCAAACAAGTCATTTCACACAGGGGTTTGGGGGTGAGAGGTAGAGGTTATTCTAAAAAGATATGTTCATATATGATGCATAGAACATTGAAAGTGCTTTAATTAGCATATAAAATCCTCCTTTCCATTATATACACAACATAAAGGGTATATAACACTGTACACTAGAATACTTGTAATATTTCAGAAAATTACACTAAACATCCCAGAATATTTCCTGGAAAGTTTTCAATTTAAAACACTGTAGTAAATCTCACTGGTCTCTAATCCAATTTATGCCATAATAAATTGGTTAAGATGTCGCAAGACTTTATTTTTGCTCTTTTAGGTTAGCATAGTTACTGTTGTACATTATGGTGAACTAGAAATGTTCTTAATTAGAGATGTTTGTTAGAGCCATAAATCAACCTTAAAAGTCTTCAGATTTAAAATTATTGATACTAGAAAGAGCAGTAATTGTATATTTCTGTCATCTAATAACTTTTAGTAAAGAGTCTGAATATATGAAGCATTTACATAATTGAGTAATTCACAGTTGCTGGATAAAATATTCTAAGTATGAACTTGATGCTTTTTTAGAGAAGCATAAAATTATGATTTCCTTGCTGAATTATGGCAAAGGTCTAACTCTGGCCAACAGTTGCTTTTTGAAAATGCACAACATAGCAGTCTAATATCTGGCTTATTTTTTTCATAAGCATCTGGGAATGCCTTTTTTAATCTCTATCCATGGAGTCCCATTTTTAGCCATCATGTGACATATGCAACGAAGACCTATTCTTTGATCAGGCTCTGTTTACTTCTGTAATTCTGCTGTTTATAACCTGTATACAGTATATTTGCTTATGTCAGATATCAGCCTATTCTCAAAACCTTGTATGTTTCATGACACAGAAATAAAAAAATACAACCATTTTGATATGTCATTGAGCAGCGTATTTATATCACACACTTTACAAGAAAGTAGACTTCAGAATTTAATAACACTTAAAGGGAAAAACAGAACCATAAGCTATTGTGTTATTGCAACTCCAGATACTGTTATGGCTGCCCTGTTCTGGAAGAATGGATGTAAATATTCTTATCAAACTGTTGGTTGTGTACAGATGGAAGTATGGCCTTAGAATTTTGAGTGTTTTTTTTTCCCAGTCATGACTCGACTAAAACAGACACAAGGGAGGTATATATACTTTTTGAAATCAGTTTTGATATAGGAAGTGTCATGCATATATATGACTAAGTTTAGACCCACACCACATATGTGCTTATCAGTTTTCCAGTCAGTCATTTTGTAAAACTGTCACACGGTATCTTGCCAAACTGATGAGGATGGCTTGTGTCAGTAGGGGGTTGTTTAGTTCCTTTCTTTAGTTAGTCCAATTTATATATAAAAAATCAAGGAAATGCAATTAGCACAAACTGTTTCAGTTAATTATTAATTAATTTTAATTATTTGAAACCAATATAGAAGTGCATAACTATACCGTATACCTTTGGAATAAAGTGGGGAAAACCCTTATATCCACTTTCAGTGCTGCTGCTGCTGCATTATTTAGGAACATTAATATTAAAAAAGGAGCTGTGATTATTATATTTTGTATGGAAATCTAAACAGCAAGAGCTGAAAGCAAAAATAGTTATAAAGCAATGTTCCTGCAAGAGGTCTCTGATAGACAATAGAAAACACTGAATAAGTGATTTGTGCTCATGGTATTTATACCCTGAGAAGATAGTGGCAAAAACTGAAAACCTCTGCCACCCTTAACATTACAATACTGTGACTCCCTAGGAAGCAAATCCAGCTGCTAAAACCAGACTATGCAAACCTTGCTGAACAAAAAAGGCACAAGCTAAAAGCTGCATCCAGTAAATAATTTTGGTGGTCATAAGTTTGCACAATGATTTTATATGACCCTCAAAATTATTTGCAAAACCTACTCTATAGTTCCAGCTGTTTTGTTTTTACTTCCTTCTTTTCCCAATCTATTTGTAGTTGTTTACTTCTCTAAGAAACAAAAGAGCTGGGAGAGACATAATGAGGTCAGCAGCAGCCTAGTTGATTTTTTTCGTCTTCTTTCCACCACTTAAAAACAAAATAACAATTAAAAAGGAGTGCCTTTTTTTACAGCAACAAGGGTCTACAATCTTCCAGGATTCAGCTTCGATCTAATGGCTTAGCTGGAAAAATCAAACCACAGCCCGGGGGAGGGGAGAGGTATTGGAGAGAAAAAGTTTTGAATCAATCCTGGATTGCAAAATGCATGTTGGGATATGTAGGCCAAAGAAAGGTTTGTGCAAATGTCTGGAAAACTTTTCATGGTCTCATTTTGATGAACCTATGAAAGTTGCCTAAATCAGGTGCACACATACAAATTATGTGTTATCAATTATGCATGTTCAAAATAAGTTTTTGTAAATGGCAAGGAACAAACATCATGGCAAGAAACCCTCAAAGCTATACACTGTTTAAAGCTGTTGAGGTATTTTATTCCCTTTTCTGTAAGCAAATCTTAAAACATGTTTATACAACAGAGCCTCTATATTTGCCAAACCTGCTCTTAAAGCAAGAGATTGATACAGTAGAAATCATTTTTCTTAAAATGTGTGACATGTGGTGGGATTCATATTACATCTAATAATACACAATGAATCTATTTCAATTGCTGGAAAGTTTATATTCTCAATCAAATCTTTAGAACAGCCTTTCTCAACTTGGGTTCCATGAAAGGTCATTATTATATTAACAAAATACTGGTTTTTTTTTTTTTTAATTTTGTGTGCCATGCAATGTCAACACTTCCAAAGGTGGGAATTTTTACATGCTGCTAATCATAGACAGCTTTAGATAGAATAATTTTTATGCAAGGGTTCTCTGAGCCCTGAAAATTATTTCAAGGCTTCCTCCAGGGGGAAAATGGTTGAGAAAAGCTGTTTTGGATTCTTAATCGGGCTGGACATTGATTAAATGAACATATTTAAGGCTATCTAATTGCTTCCAAATTTGTACAGACAAAATATGAATGGATTTATAGTACCACTTATAAAGGTGCAGAAGCACAGAGTATATTGGGACAAAACATTACAGAAACAAATGTTTCCTTTGAAGAGATGCACCTGCACCTGTTCTTATTGAAACACCAATTTTCTGACAAAAAATTAATGCCACAATCCTTGTAGAACACAGATATTGACATTTTGTTACACAAATTATTATACCATCTTAAATTTCCTAAGACATTGTTACGAGTACTTCATGGAGTAAAATACGTAAACAGTTTCTCGGGCATGATTTTCTATCTCAATATTAATTTTCATCAGAAAAAAGCAGGCAAACCCATCTGACAATATCGGAAGGAAATATTTCCAACTTTCAGAAGTGAGATGAATTGAACAAACTACATATTTGGCTGCCAGTTTTAATTCTTACTAGCAAACTGTGTAGAAACATCAAAAATAAAAGAACTTTACCTTGAAAATTTATGTTGAGGTGGTGAAGTGAATAGATAAGAATAACCAAAACAAAAATCAGTCCTAAACTCATTTTGAGGGTCTGTATATTAAAGAAGAGGCATCAGGTTTTCAAGGAAGTATTAAAAAAATGAAGTTGCTACAAAAATTGGTCTACATATTTCTGGTGCAAATTTTTTGAGGCGAAGAAATATCTTTTGGCATTTGGCACTCCGCAAGGACAATATTTTAATACTGGCACAAGCTAAAAAAACACTCCAAAGAACAAATACAAGACATGAAACCCTCACGTGGCTGATAATAGTAAACAAACCTGTAGAGGCATTATTTCAAAAGCTGATCCAAAACATTTTTAATAGATTTGTGTTTTACTAAATCTTAAAAGGGGAAAATAAATTCAAATATCCTCTAAAAAAGCAGCAGTTGCTGGAATGAACCATTTGGAGTTCAGCCATCAATAAACATGGGATTCTTCGTGACTTAATACACGGACACGCGAGGCTGGGCCTGTGGCACTTCGGATTACCTCCATCCACCTAAGCAATAGAAAGACAAACATCAGGACTTCCTATTACAGGTGGGAAGCTTTTCTATTGTGGATGTGGCTTCACAGAAGACATTTGCCTATTAGGTGAATTTGGGAGAGATCAGTAGGATGGGGAAAGGGAAGGAGTAGGTGGGTCTCCTGTCTGCATAAGGCAGAATGTTCTTTCCCAATTCTATGCCAGCCTGTTTTTCCAACAGCTGATCTGGTTGGCCAGAATGGAATGGAGTTGGGGAAGAACAATGGAGATGACTCTTCCCATTGGTTGTCCCAAAGATATAGGTTGTCTTTCCCATCCTAATAGCCTTGCTAAGCAATTTGAGATTAAGAGGACCCCAGTGGGATACAGAAAAAAGTGACCTGGAATGCCAATCTTTGTTCCACCCATTTCAAGTTCATCTCTCTGGGACAAGCAACTAGGCATAGGGATTCTGATGGGATCTCATATGGGAAGAGTTTAAAACCTCTACTTTGAACAGAGTGGTGGCAGAGGGGAAAAAGAGGATAGTAATGGTTAAGTACAAGAGGTTTCTGAGATTTCTCAACCTCAGCAGTCTTAAGAGATGTGGGCTTCAACTCCCAGAATTCCCCAGCCAGCATGAAGTCCACCCATCCTAAAGTTGGTGGAATTTGAGAAACCCTGCACTTAACTACCATTTGTAAACTAAACTTAACCTATATTATAGAGCAGTGGTTCTCAACCTTTTTAATGCCGCGACCCCCAACCGGTTGTAAGTCGAGGACTACTCAACCGGTCGTAAGTCGAGGACTACTCAACTGGTGCAGCACCGTTTGCAGAATGGGACTTTTGGCGGGCTTAGCAGGGCAGAGACAGCCTGGACAATTCTTATTGGCTTTTGAAAGCCAATAGAATTAGACTCTATTCAAGAGAGTCTATTCTATTGGCTTTCAAAAGCCAATAGAGTAAAAGGGAGTAGCACAGCTAAGGAAAAGGGGAAAAAAATGGCGGACTGCGTTGTTTGGCGACCCCCGTGAAATGGTTGTTCGACGCCAAATGGGGTCCCGACCCACAGGTTGAGAATCACTGTTATAGAGTAAGACACATATTGAAATGGATTTTGCTACAGAATATTTTCATGCTGCTTTACTTAAATTGACTGGATTATAACAGTACTTATTACCTATCCATTTTTAATGATAGAATTTAACAACATAGCATGTAGTAAAATCAGAATAAACAAACATACCTTTCAAATGTATATTCACTCTCCGCCCTAAAATAGTACACATGGGATTTGAAGTATAGCTTAAAGACATAGTCTTTATTAATGTTCTCAGATTCAGAAGGAATGGTAAGAGAATAGCCCAGCAGAGGAAGGCTAGCTAAGGGATGATTGTCCTGAAAACAAAAGGCAATAGAGTTGTAGCAATAGCAAAAGTCCCGCTTCACAAATTAATAAAACTGCATGCAAAGAACTTCAAAACTATCTTCCTACCATCAAATCCCAGTATGTTTCAAGTAAAAGACAAAACCCAGGAAGGTCCTCCCCAAAAGACATTGGCTTCTTGTCTTGCCACTGCACACAGGCTTATAGGTTTGGATTTGCCCAAGCTTCTCTTTTCTTAGATTTTTATCACATCTTTTCTTTCATGTACAGCTCAAGGCAGCAAACATACCAATTCTCCTTCCTATTTTCCCCAGAAAAACCCTGTTTGGTGAATGAAGAATGAGTGTCTAGCCCAAAGTTACCCAGATATTTTTTCATGCCCAAGGCGGGACTAGAACTCACTGTCTCCTGGTTTCTAGACTAGCACCTTCACTACACTCAGAGCCTAGTGAATGAATGAATTTACATGATTTATATGGCTGCTCATCTCATACAGCTGACTCTGAGCAGTACCCAAGGATAAAACAAAGACCCTGATCATAAAAATCAGCAACAGAGTTTACCTAACCTCCTAAACCAGTGGTTCTCAACGTTTGTGTGACGGCAACCCCCGTTATACAAACGTTCTGCGCATGCGCAGTGGCACCCCCTGAGGGGAGAAAATGGCGGATCGCCTTTTTTGGCGACCCCCGAAAAATGGTCGATCGACCCCAAATGGGGTCGCGACCCATAGGTTGAGAACCGCTGTCCTAAACCAACACCTAGAGCACGGGTGTCAAACTCAATCGTGTGATGTAAATTTGCCTTTGTAAAACTGAGGTGGGTGTGGTCTGCATGTGACGCATCTGGCCTGTGGGCCGCCAGTTTGACTTAGAGGAAACAACCAGGTGCTTTACAAAAGGCTATTTTCAAGTGCAGAAGGCCCCATATTCTGTATCTCACTGGAACTAAGAGTTTCTGTGAAAGAGACCCCACACATATTGCACCTAAATATGAACCACTGTTGGCACAATTACTACACTCCCTATAACATGGTGGCTGTAAACATAGCTTCTCATGTTCCTTTGTCTACTGTATTTATTTTTTACCAGATGTGCAAGTGGAAAGAAGAGGCTGCTCATCATTCTGTGGCCTTCAAGTGGTTATTTGTGAGTTATATGGAAAATGACATGGAGAGGATGGTCAAAATATTCTATGGCTCTGGTAAACTCTTGGATGACTACCATCATCCACAATGCACGATCACTGGTGACTCTGTTCCTTATCTCAGTTTCTCCAGCTGATGCAAGCAAAGTTTCCACAGTACGTACAGGTACATACATCCTCACTTATCAACTATTCATTCAGCAACCATTCAAAGTTACAAAGGTGCTGAAAAAATAATTATCTGACCAATTGATGACCATTTATTACTGTTGCAGTATCCCTCACTTCATGAACACTATTACAGTCAATATGTAGTGTTCTGAATCTGATCTGTGTTTTTTTTTCTCCCACTTGGAGACGAGAGAGATTGGAGAGGAAGGGATTGCAAGAGAGTAAGCTGTTTGCTCTTCTACACATCAAAAACAATGCAACTGCACTGGCAGCCTGGAGTTAGGACCCACAAATGCACTATGCAAACAGCTTGCAATATTTTCATGAAATCTCTTTCTATCCAATCTCTTTGTTCTGCAAAGGAGGACAGAGCAGAGAGATTGACGAGGAAGAGACTGAGAATAAACTGTTAGCTCTTCTATACATGAAAAATAGTGTGATTATGCTAGTAACAGGAAAGTGGTCATGTAACTACCATTTCTGATGTTCCCTGCTGGCTTCCCAAAAGTCAATGGGGAAGCTGGAAGGAAGTTGGAAGTCTCAGTCACATGATGTCCTTACTTAATGACAAATAGGACTGCAGAAACTGCCATTGCTAAGTGGCACAAATAGGCAATGTTCAACTTTATGACCATGTTGCTTAGTGATGGGGATTCTGGACTAGCATTAGCTTTTATGGGCTTGCTTCATGAAATTTGGACAATTATGAAAAGCCCACCACACATACAATTTCCATAAGAAATCTTTGTCCAAGCGAAGTAGTTAACTACAGCATTTCATATATTTATGGCACAGTATCTTAAAGAGCATAAGATAGGAAGCACATCAAAGCCATGGCAAGGAGAAATAGGGAGAGTGCCATCTTCTTGAACCTCCTCCTTAGCTGACATCAAAAGTATATTTGAAGGTAGCTCAATAAGGATTTTCTCAAGAAAAAGCCTCTAGTTCTGGTAATTGCTCTGATCCTCAAGATAATGATGTTTTAGTAATGAAACAAATCATTACAATGCTGTTGGACAGTGCAATAGATTAAAGAGAGCTAAAAAGTCTAACATTATGAGAGGCCTCTGTAGATTTACAAACACTCTTATGTGTGATGCACAGAGTCCACAAAGAACCCACTACACAGAACAAGAAGGCAAAAAGCAGAAAGAATGAAGCTGCATTGCCTATTCTGTTCCTTCATTAATTTTCTGTGCTCCATCTGCTCCCAATCTGTTCAATTCCTCTGTTTTCCACACACAGCCATATCTGTGCCAATGTAAATCTGGACATCACATTTCAACTGCTACTCTCTTACTATAAACGTAACCTTTTCCAATAGCAAAATATCACACTAAAAATAACCTTCTCTTTTCGGGGCAGGCAAGAGTGGAGAGTATGTACCTATTGTTGTTGTTTTTTTTAAAAAAAGGACTAACTTGTCTACAAGTTAGTAGAGGTCTGGATAGCAGATTTTTTTGGCGGTGCAGACTTCTGCAGATAAAAATTGGATTAGTTTTTATCTGCAGAGTTATTAACTACACACTTCCACTTAAACAGGCTAATTCTGAAATACTGAAGCATTTAGAATTCCCAGAAATCCATCAAACTGTAGAATTCAGTGCCGATTTTTCTCTCCAAGTTGTTTATCCATAATTAATTATCCCTGAAGCTAATCCATTTTCTGTAAAGTGTTTCATATTAATTAATCTCAAATATCCTTGGGTGTACCCTTCCTCAGAGAAATGCAATGTATGAACCAAAGCCACCATTAACAGAATAGCAACTTTCAAACAGCACTTATGAAAGTGCACAATTTTCATTGCAGAAATTTCTAATACAGGCTGACCTTGGTTGGCTTGTCACCATTCAAACCACCTGTTTCAACTGTTCAACCATTCATTCAGCTGAGAGCTAGTTTGGTCTAGTACAGTGTTTCCCAAACTTGACAATTTTAAGGCATGTGGACTTCAACTCCCAGAATTCCACAGCCAGCGTTGCTGGCTGTGGAATTCTGGGAGTTGAAGTCCACATGCCTTAAAATTGTCAAGTTTGGGAAACACTGGTCTAGTAGTTAAGGTAACTAGGTGAGAAACCAGGAGACTGTGAGCTCTAGTCTTGCCTTAGTCATGAAAGTTGGTTGAGTGACTTTGGGCCAGTCACTCCCTCTCAGTCCAATCCACCATTGTTGTTGTGAGGAAAAAAGAGGAGGAGGAAGGACTATTATGTATACCACCCTGAGTTACTTATAAACAGTAATATAGGCAATATTAAAATGTAATAAATAAATCAGCAACTATTAGCAACAAAGTTACAATGGGGCTAAACAAATGATGGTCCTTGGCATTCCAGCAGTCCCAATATCCCCATGGCCATGTGATCATGATTGGGGTGCTTGGCAACCCAGTTGCACTTACAACCGGTTGCCAAGCACACCACAATTATGCAGTTGCCATTTGCAACCTTTCCTGCTGGCTTCCTAAGAAAGTCTATGGAAGCCAGCAGGAAGATTGCTAGTCACTGAAGTAGGTCTTTCCACTTGTGCACCCTCCCCCAGATCCTCTGCAATTGCATTTTGTCAGCTACTTGTGCACCCTGCATATCGTCCCAACACACACAATGCCCCCACGCACCCACTCTGACTTGTGTAGCAGCTCTTGCACACCCCCTGAACTCTTCCTGATTCTCATTACACATCTTGTGCACCCTCTCGCACAGTCTCTTACCCTTCCTAACTCACGGAACACCTCTCATGGACCCTTCATATCCTCCCCAATCCATGCAATACCCCTTGTACATCTCTTGCGCATCTCCTCACACACTACCTGACCCACGCAATAATCCAGTACACTCCCTTGCACTCTCCCCAACCCATACCATACCTCTCACTCACCTTCTCACATCCCTTATTGTCTTCTTCGGCCCACACAGCGCGTCTCTCACAGCCCCTCTCTCTCCACCACTCATGTGACACTCTTGCACAATCCCTTGCACTGTCTCACACACACTCTCTCTCTGACCCTTTCCCCTATCCCCTTGTTCCATCCCTCACCTGGGAACAGACACTCATCTGCCCATGGATAACTTGCAACTTCCTGCTGCCTTTCCTATGCCTGTAGGATGCGGACAGCTGTAAGAATTTGTCTCACCTAATGACTGTAATAATGAAGACTACACAGATTGCCATTGTTCAGTGATGCAGTCAGGCTTTACAACTACATTATTTAATGATGAAAAGTCTTATCCCAATTGCTGTCATAGGTCAAGGACTATCTATACTAGCTCTCCTGAGGCTAATCAAACAGCCTTTCAATCCTCTAGTGTGAAAAAGGTAACATAAAGATTATTTTCTGCTTTCAGAAGAATCAATTACCTGGTGAGATTTGTAGAAAAACATGCAGAAGTTGGTGAACACCACCCAAAGCTTCTGCCACCCATTGCTGTTTTTGAATTTTCGCAGAAGGTTTCCAGAGAGTTGGTTCTGAAAAAAGGAGGGAAATAGTACAACAAACAAAATAAAATACATGGAGAGGGTAAAACAAGATGATGGAAAGCAGGCAAGGCTCATGTAGAATGGCATTTTGAAAGAGTTTATTTTTGTCTGTTGAAAGTGGTAATAAATCGCATTTCAAGTTTCTGAACTGTTTCATTCAGTGAGGTCGGCTTGTAAGTTGAATCTAGCAAGAAATAAATTATCTGCTGTTACGTTATTAGAAGCCCCACTTAAATTGAGGTGGTGTTGGCAGACATGCAATTTTCTTGACAAAGTTACAGAAGCGTTTTGCCCTTGCCTTTTTTTTCCAGAATGGTCTCTTGACTTCCTGGCTTATGTTCTGGGCCTGAAATTCCAACACTCTCTTCCAACTAGTTACCAGAGCTACTAGCCCTGCTTTGCTCCTGAGATCAGCCAAGACCAGCTAAGTGCAGCCACTTGCTGAAACACATTTGATGCTGGAGTATTTATTTTTAAGGGTGTGTGGCTGGAAGACAATTTTACTATGATTTTAAATTATAATTCTTTGTGCTGGTGGGAAAATTTATAAAGAATATTTCACACAACACCACTCTTTAAAAGGGTCCAGAAAAATGAATGTATTTTTCCTAAGTCATCTTTAGAAAGATAGCTTAATCACAATAACTTAAGCCCCACTGATTTTAATAGGTAAAACTTAAATAGATTATAAAGTTGCATAAATGAGAGGCTTTGATTTGAATTAAGTGTTTGAAAACTTTTTTTTGATGAAATAGTTAAATTAAGGTGCTTTGGATTAAATGTGTGCCTACCATATATTTGAAAGAAGCTAATGCTAAATATCAAATATATCCAATGATTATGACAAAGGGAAGATAAACATACACTTTAGCTTTAAAATAATCAGTCTTGCCGAATCTTTGTTCTCTTAGTGGAAAATTTTATTATTCTTTTTGTTCTGCTTGACATTTAGCAGCATATTGAACTAGGCGCTTATCAAAACAGCTAAAAGGAAACACTATTACCTTCCAAATTGTCAACAGGGCTAACAAGCTTTTTACTGTATTTTGAAAGCTTTCATTTTGACCCATTCCAGTTTCAAAAAACCAGACAGGATGTGTGTGTACTGGAATACAATAACACACATGTAGTCCTAATTCTCTACTTTTGATTTTGGTTACCTCATTTTCTGAAGGGTATCATAAAAGGACAGGCTTTGCATTCGGTACCAGCAGACATATGAAATGGAAACAGGCCGCTGATCACTGATCAGTCCAACAGGTGGGGAAGGACAATCACTGACAGTGAGAGGGTCTTCTACCACAAGAAAAAGAGAAAGAAGGAGGGAAAGAAGGAAAGACACAGAGAGAAAGCATAAACTATAATGTTGATGTGACATTAAACACAGAATTAGGAAAGTATGACTGTAACTTGCCGGTCATGGGAAAAGCTGTGGAACTAAAGACAGTTGTGTAAGTGCAGATGGATCTGCTTCTAGGTTGTTTGATGTGATAAATTCCAAGTATGTGAGGGCAATCTGGCGGCAACATTTGTCACCCTATTGATCCCCAGAGGTGAAGTATTAGGATGATTCTGATAGAATATGCCACACACACTCTCAGAAGTAAGATCAAATGTATTCAGAGAGAATTACAACCAAGTATGTCTGAATCCAAGGGAAATGTTTAGTTCTTTAAAATTTTTATTTTTAAAGCTCTAGAACCTTTTATTTTATAAAACTAAGGCATGTATATCCAGTGCTTTCCTTGATGTAACCAAAACAACCTAGAGGCATTCCTTTGGAAATGGGTGTCTGCAGGTACCTTAAAGAAGCTAAACCAATTTATAATTTAAATGAAATTCTATGTTATTTTTTCATCTTCAACTCAATTTTATAAAAAACTGTGCTTCAGAAGAACTGTTTTCTTCTACTTTTCAACAGAGTTGAATGGAGCCTTATTTTATGAAGAACTAAAAGCAGAACAAGACTTATGATCTCCACAAATATCCCCTTTATCTTTGATAAAATTAAACACTGAAGTTCCACATAAAAGCTAACATGAATTGATATGAGAATGCAATACTTTCCGTGCAAATTTCACTGATTTGGGATGAGAATGTTTTGGATTCCATACCTCATTAATCTGTATCTAATTGGTTTAGCTACAGCCAAAATGCATCTTTAAAAATACACAGAGATCTTCTCTGATAAAGAAAACATGAGAGAGGCAGATAAGCTTGAGAGGGGAATATTGTAAGACTCCAGAGAATAATAGACAGCAGAAAATAAAACAAATTGCACATTTCAGACTGCAGCTCATAGACAGACCTATTGCCCTTTCCAAATATACTGAGGATTTTAAAAAAATACTCAGAAGAACCCCTCTTGATATCAACATATAGAAATTAATTTAGACGCATGAAAGGTATCACATGAAAAGTAAAATTATTCATAAATTGCCTGAATGTCTTTTGAATGGACTTAATGTAGTTTCCAATTAACCAAGAGAGCAATGATTGGAAAGGAAACGGTGCCTGAGGAAGATGGCTCTTTCGAGCTGCAGTCCAAGCCATTTTGAGCCAGATACCTCCACTGCAATACTAAAGTCGACCATAGAGACACTGGTATTTCTGTGCCAGCAGACGTGCACCGTAGTGTTGCCACGATGAGGAGCTTGACGTTCAAGCGAGGTGCGGGATGCATTGAGATCGTCCTCCGATTCCTGGTCTACAGTGGACTCCTCGGGAGACTCTACGAAATGCAGGGGAAAAGCCTCTTTTTTCCCCCCTTGTATAAAATACGGAGCATGAAATCATAAGCAAAATATTATCTCTGATACAGGGAAATCTCCAAAATGGTGAAGAAGCCATCTTAGTGCCTTGTCTGTTTTGAGTTGGTTGTATAGGGAAAACATGAATAGGGAAGGAGATTAAGATATTTTTTCCCTGAGGAAAGCATCCCAACAAGAAATTAATGGCCAATTGATTAATCAATAATTCATTATGGGACTGTGCATAGGAACATTATTATTATCTATAACAGTGTTTCTCAATGATAGCAAGTTTAAGATGTGTGGACTTCAATTCTCAGAATTCCCCATGGACCACGTTGGCTGGGGAATTCTGGGAGCTGAAGTCTTAAATTTGCCAAGGTTGAGAAACATTGATTTACAATTTAGGCCCTAGTAATTCTGTGCTCTAAATAGAGTGATTTAGTAGATACATCAGTGAAACATGAATTATTGTTTTGGAACACAGAAGGCATTCTTTAATTTCAGGGTTACTTGATTTACTACTTTGCATACAATTCCATATACTGCCATTAAACACATTTCTAAAATTCTTAAAAGAGAATAAAATATAGGATTTGATACCCACAAACCAGCTGCCATATAATCTATCTGAACTGAAATTAGATAAGAAAAGACCTGATTTTCCTTGTTTTTAAAGCAGGGGCCCTGCAGCATGTACTACATATATAATGATGTTTTGGAGCTGTAGGATTCACACACACACCTTTTCTTGTTCTGGACTTACTTGTGTCAGGTGGACTATTTCCATGGAATTCAGAAGCAGGATTATTACAGTTCTCTGCCAAGTCAATGGCCATCTGAAGGTCCTCAGTCCACTTGTCCATTTCAATGCGGTTACTAGGAAAATAATAGAGGTTTATTTATTGTTTATTTGCAGGACTTATATGGCTGCCTGTCTCATATAACAATTCTAGGCAGCTCACACCTATACATAAAAGCAAAGATAAAAACAGAAGTACCCTTCCCTCAGGTGCCAGCCCACACAGCTTCCCAACTAGCCCAATACTTGGGAGAAGAGGTCTTCACAGTGTCCTATGAATGCTAAAAGGGTAGTTCTTTTTTTTTCCCATTGCAAATAGTAGTGAGCTTCACAAGTTAGGCAAAATTAAGCCAAATCTGCTTTCAGACTATTTATTTGGGGGGTGGGGAACCTTTATAACCAGGCCAGATAAAGTTACAAGAAAGCATACTATCACCTTCTGCTCTGCAAGCTTACTTTACTTTATATTAACTACTGCCTGTTTATAGCAAAAGAGTGATTACAAATGAATTCAGAATTACCATTGTAACTAGCTACAATACCTATAATAATTCAAGGTGTATCTTCTGTAGAACAGGCACACTTTCTCAAATCCCTACATAGATGTTCTAAAAGCACATGGTCCAAGGTAATTACCTCGCAGCAACAACAATGGATTGGTGTTGACTTCTCAGTGTAAAGCAGTGGGGAACCCCCCATTCTTCTTCACTCTCTTCTATCTGAGAAAATAAAAATGGAGACATCATCGTCCAACTGGAAAATAAATTTTCAAACACATGTAGACAATAATTTACAAAAATTCAAGCTACCACAGTCTGATTGTTTTTCACTATGAATGCAACACTTGTTTTCTTCTCACCAATATGGAAATTATGGAAAGAAATAATAACAGCTGTTACTATGTAACAGCCACTATTTAGTACTGACAAACAGAAGACTAGCAGAGCATATCTATGAACACAAACTAGCAGTCAGAAGATACAATGAAAACTCCTTAATCTCACAACTCATGAAGAAACTCAACAATAGTTTCAACTGGGAAACTGTGAGCATCCTAGACAGGAAGCTTGACTTTCAGACAAATCGGCCATCAATAGACTCATAGAGATATACCACATTTATACACCATTTAAAAGAGACAATAAAAACATTAAGAAGGAAGCAAAAAGTCCTAAACAGACCCTTTCAGGCAAACAAAATCCAGATAAGTAGGGCCCAGATAATTGCAGGCAAACAATCAAGCAGAAAACATTACCCTCTTCATGGAAATACCAAGAAGAAAAACCTCACACCCACCAACACTGGGCTATTGCATAGAAACAGGGAACCTACCCCACAATCACTAGAACTGATGTCATTACCTAGTTGGGCAAGTAAATAACTAAACTCACAGAGCACAAAGGATTCTACAATAATAGCTATTTAAAGTCTGCTGCTCCAAGGTTATTAGCCATTCCTGGTAATATACAGTTAGTGGATGAGAAAATATTTAGGAGTGGCAAAACTCATAGCTGCAGACAATACTCCGGTGAGATCTGGAGCATATCTCTATGCATTAAAAGCCACAATTAAAAATAAATCAATGAAAGCGCGAATACGGGCATCAGAATCATATACACCACACCATTGGTGTAACACAGGCCAACCTCAGGGTTGAAATACAGGCAGCTGCTTTATTTTCTATGATGTCAAATTAAGGGCAAATTTTCTGAATATTTTTAAAGCTTGGCAGTTGGTATAGAAGAATCTGTGGGTCATCTATGCCTGCTGCCATTCTTGTGTGTGCAGCACCCTATCGAGTTCACTCTCTCTCTTTTTTCTAGCAAAGAAAATGCAGCTTCATATTGTCCTTGCCAGTGGAAGCAACAGGATGATGATCTCCCCCTTTTATTGCTCTTCTCCATTGTGTGGAAGGGATCAGCCTTGTTAATTATCCCCTTCAACGGGAGAGCTCAAACATTGCCAGGATTTGCAGTAAGATCACAATGAGTTTTCACCCACTGTCCTGGAAGAGAGACGTGAATCTTCTGGCTTGTTTTCTGCCAGCAAGGGGTTCCAAATCACTGTGGCAAATTGACATTTCCTTCCCTTCATTTCTTTTCCCTTTCTCCATTTGTGTGTAAATCCTGTGCATTGCTTGTATGTTATCTTCTGAATGAATCTATATTTGAAGGAGGTGATGTTTGGGTGTACATATTCAAAAGCAAACGTTCACATAGACCCTCCTATGCAAGTCTCCAAAGGGCTAATCTAGAACCCAATGGATCTTCAGATCTGAAAAGATTATCGAAACCTACTCTATGGAGCAAGATGCCATCACTAACAATTCTCTCAATCTGAAAGGATGGCTATGATTGAAGTTAAACCCATTAAGTTTTCAAACGTTCATTTTCTTCTCAGTTGCATTTATTCCTTCAAATTTCTAATTATTCTATTTAGAGTAATTGAGAAGGCTTATATTTCTAAACAGTAGATACGATCCACAGCCTTTTACGTTTTAAAAGATTCAGCAGTAACCAATCCAGTCTCAACTCAGCATGTACTTACCATCATGCCATACAGTGGAAGCTGCCCGTGAACTTTGAACTGATTCGATGCTGTTAGACCCCGACTTGTGTACAGCAAGATATCATTGAACTGAAACATAACGTAAGGCAAAAATATAGTCAGAGGAGACAGGGAACCCCAAATATTCTGTACGTGACCTAATATAAATGGGATCATTGGTGTTTGCAGCCCTAAACAAGTTATGTTATTTGCAGGATAACATGCATGAATTTGGGACTGTTATCCTAGTATATTTGCTTTAACCCAGAGGATCAATCATATGAACTAGCCCTTAAGAACATGGCAGAAAACCATATCCATCCAATCATTATTTTGAGAATGTTTCCATCCAATACCTACAATAATACAATAGTTTCCCATTTTCTTCCAAAACTATTTAAAGCACACACAAACACTTATCTTCACCACCATTCACTAGGGATGCAAGAGCTTTTCCTCAAAAGAAGTGTAATATATGCTGGTATTTTAGAAGCTAGCTTTGTTTCCTTGAGACAAAACATGCAGATCCTTCTTCTGTATGGGAGATTTAAGTTGAATGACAAAGAATTATCTCATATTGTAAGCTTTTAGTAGAGTCAGGATTTAGTGGCTAAATTCAGACAGTGCCTGGTTTGGCTCTTGGGAAGATTCAACTCATTCTCCTACTTTCCATACTGTATTTAGATTTCTTCTCTATGTAGAACAAATACTTTCATGTTATATTCCAAATAGCTGATTTCTGATCAGGTCATGCCTATTAAGGCATTTTTCTTTGCTGTGTGATAACACTTTGTGCTTTATAGGTCAGGTTTGTCCTGTAAGTTAACTAATAAAAAAAAAAAAACTATGATCCACAGACTGTCTAGCTCAGGGGTCTCCAACTCCCAGGCCGTGACCCACTCCTGGGCCATAGCCTATTTGTAACCGGGCCACGTGAGCCTGTATGCATATGAAGGCGCAGCTCGACTTACCCACGTGCTGGCCCACCACTTGCACACTTGGATCCCCTCTCCCCTTCCCCCCACTGGGCCACCAAGCTGCAAAGATTGGGGACCAGTGAGCTAGCCTAAATTGCCAAAATAAAGTTTATCACAGCACTGTGTGGAGTGTAATGCAGACCTACATATCCTACTTCAAAACACTTTTAAGATAGTGGTCCAAGTCAAAGTTTCTGTCAGGTCTGCCTCTCACAGTGCAGGCCTTGCTTAGCTAGATGCCAGGCTGTCTTAAATAAGGTGGTGGGGGGAGGGAGAGGAGTGGGGTGGGTGAATTGGGGGGGGGAGAAGAAGAAAGAAAAGCAAAAGCCTGTGCACTGTTCCCATGGAAGCTGTAGCCTGTTCCAAGGTCACCCAATGGAACACAACACCTTCAAACCCACACAGCTGGGAACTATTACCAAATCAATTTATTTGAAAGTGATTGGTCACTCTATGATAAGAGGGGAGGGGGATGAATCCCAGGGGAAATGTTAACTACTTGGTTTGGGCTCCAAAAGTTAGATTTGGCTTTGGCCTCAATAAAGTATACTTTTTACTGCTACAGCTGTGAGAGTCTTTTTGATTGACCAAGTTGGGACGGCTGACAGTTTCTCTGTTAAATTAATCCAGGGTGCATCATTTTCTGAAATTATGTATTTGCTTGCATTTATTTCATAATTCTCAGGAAGAGCAGAAAAAAATGCAGACTGTGTGAATGTAGATTTTGATTTCTTAAGAATCACTCTATATTTATTCCATCTATTGTTGGTTTATTTAACATTTGGCTGAGTTTCCTTTCATCATGGAGAACAGAAAACTGCAGATCTCTTCTCAGATTACTCCACAATTTGCATCTTACTGCTCCTGTGAATTTCCTCCTCCTTCTTTTCCCTTGGTATTTGTGGCACAATTGTATTTAATTGCACACATTCTAAACAGTTCCTGCCACTTACCAAGAAGAACATCCGCTGCTGTAAGCCTTTTCCAGACAGTTTGCTGAGACTACCCAGCCTAATAAATTCCTGTGGAGGAATAGACACAAAATAGAAAACATCAAACCTCAGGCTGAACATTGGCATGGGTGGTAATTAATAAGGCTGGCAGCATTTGAGATTCAGTTCCCCAAAAACGTGCTATGGAAGACACAGAGTATAGCACTTACGCTTTTTCCCAAAACCCTGCAGCTGTCCCGTGGTCCTGGAAAAAGACGCATGCTTTAAAGCGTTTTAGATGGGATTTTTTTTGTTTCTGCCCCCTTGTGTTCCCAAGCCTATTTTTGGAAATTTATTGATTCATTGATGGATTTTGGAAAATTTATATAGCCATCTACTCTCTCATGGCGGCTTACAGAAAATAAAAACACAATGTAGAGGAAATAAAAATAATAAAATAATAATAAAATAATAACCCCCACCCTCCCTTGGGGACAACACAAACTCATATCAGCCATTTAATGGACTCCATCCCACTCTGGGTTCCCCAGTCCTGCTGGTAAAACTACCTCTTCAGGACCTTCCTAAGAGGGTCAGAGTGGGGGCCAATCTAATTTCTGGAGGGATGATGTTCCAGAGGGAGGGAGCCACTATGGAGAAGGCCCTTCTTCTGGGTCCTGCCAGATGTACCTCCCTAGGGGACAGGATCTGCAACATTCCATGCCTTTCCACTCTAATGGGTAGGGAAATGAATATAAATATAAATCTTTCCCAGTTCCATTCATTAATGCTGTATTATTGAATTAATGATATGATGCAGTTGAGGAGAGATATGTAAGTGAAAAGTACCTTATGTGTAATGAATAAAAAAATGACAGCCATTGGCATGCAGTAAACAAGAGTATTAGCTTTTCTCTGACTCCACACAGCCATAATAGGGCATTAAAGGAAAAGTAATGGAAAATATCAGGGAATGAAAGCAGTAAATGGAATTGCCAACTCTTCACTCATGCATTGGGGAAGAAAGGAAACTCTAGAAGACAGTACAGTATGCAATTAAAACAATACAGGAGATGATAATAAGCAATAAAGAGAAATCAAGACGGAGTTACTACAACTCTACGACTTCTAAAAAGTAGACCAGGATATATTCAAATATAATAGTTTAACTATTATTGCTACTTTACTACCACTATGACGACAAATGAAGCTCGTTTTGCCATCAGTGCTGGCAAAGAATAAATAAGAGATGTAGAGCAACACAACCAAAGGGGAAGAAAAGAGTTATTTTACCCTATTTTTAGTGTTAAGAGAGCATTTTTATGAGATTGAATAAATAGAGCTTTTTCTTTTGGATTTAGCTATAGAAATCTAAGTGGCTTGGACTGATTCCAGGAGCTAGTCAGGAAAAATTCATCCAGGTTGATGTTAATGGAGTCCTTGATACTGTTGGAGAAGAGTATCGTTCTGTTTTATTCTTCCTATCTGCTGTAATTGTACTTATATGATTTGATCTCTCTTGTCCACTAGCTTAGGGGTTCTCTCAGGATTCTAGTCTTTTCCTAGGGGAGGTCACCTGGGGTGTGGGGTGTGGTCACAAAGCATGAATGAAAAGAAAAAGCTACTTCTTTTTGTCAGGTATCAAGGAAACTGAAAAAAATATCTTGTATCAGTTTTGGATAGAAAAATAAATGGAAAGCAGGCAGATAATGTGAAGTTAATCTGAAGAAGACAGTTACTATTAGCCAACAGAAACGTTAATGAGAAAATGATGTGTCATCTGTTCTGGACATGCTGACCTTAAGCACAAGTTCAGTTGATGGATTTTCTAGCATCTAACATGGTTAAAAATTTAATTCCGTAGATTCTAGAGAAAGCATATCATATCCTGACAAGAATCCTGCAATTGCTCATTTTTTCAGCCAAATATTTTATTCCAAATACTGTGGGGACGTACTCTTTCTGGAGTCACTAGATTGTCCATAGCTATTAAGTCCTTTTTCAGTTCATGCAGTTTCTGGAAGTTTTCCATTTTTAGCATACTGCTATGGAGCTGGGCCACCATCTCTGAAATTTCTGCCAGAGCAGCTGTGAAAGGGGGAAAAACAACAAACAAAGAAATTATGCCATCAAGTAGAGCTACTCTATTAGAAATCTGAAGAACAATAGAAAAAACATGCAATGTTTAATGTTTTGTTAACAATGAAATAGAATCTATATCCATAAGACTTCCAGTTTCAAATCGAATCTGCCCTCTCAAAATATTTCTGAATTTCACTTGGAGATGATAGGTTTCCATGGATGTTTGCTGTATAATTGAGTATAAATTATTTAACAGGCTTAACTGATTTGGCCCCTAAAACAATGTGATTTTTTTTTTATTTAAAAAAATCTCATTTTTATAGCCTGCACTTAAGAATTAGGCTTGATCAGGGCATCATTGCCCTTTGAAGCCAAGGCATAATGTATCTGTATTCAGGAACAAATTACTAGACATATTTACCACCTTTATGCATTTATCAAGATTCTTCCAATCATGCACATACATCTGAAAGCAAATCTACTCTGGTTGCAGATATCTAGAATTTTCTTCTATGGTCCTTGATTTACCTGATTCTGCCTGCCCTTTTTTGTGAAATTGCTAATCTCAAGGAATTTCTTTCCAGGCTCATTTACTGTCTGACTCTCTGCCTGATGTAGCCTAGCTAGAGCTAGACTTTGCCTGCCCTCCCTTCATGTGTGGTTGTTATTATTATTTAGTTAAATTTATAATGCTGCCAAACTGAAAAGACTCAGAACTTACAACTAAAACTCAACAGAAACAATAAAGCAAAGGCAAAATACCAAACAATAACATGGGAAGTTTGTTTTAATTCCCTGTAATGAATCTTCTTTCTGTTAAAGATACAGGATACTCATTGTTACTCAGGTTAGATTCCTGCTCTCCAAGAAAACAGTCAAGTCACTTCCTCCAAAATTTAAAATTAAGAGAATTGCTACAGGAAGAGTTCACACATTTACCTCTAGAGTCCCTGAAGTCCCCATGATTGGGTGGATAATGTTTGCAGAGCCTTTCCATTATCTGCTTGTAGTGCATCAGTCTATGCAGTGGCCTGAGAAGGAAGATATTGAGGGGAAGGTAGCAGACTTTCTGCATCTCAAAATCTCTGCATAAGGCCTCAAGCCTGCGAGAGCTCTTGATTCCATTTTCCAGTTCTAGCAGTATTTTGCTATGCTTTCGCAAATGAATGGTTAGTTGCTAGAGGAGATAGAAAGAGAGAAAGAATAAGTCCACGTAGGAAAGAATTCTTTATTTAGGTTTATTTTCACATAATATCTGCTCTGATGCAATTTTTGGTTAAAAAAAAACCACAACCTAATAAAAGCCACACTGTAATACAATATGACAATGAATCGAACATAGAAGAGATGAGAGTAATTTCCAAGGGAGTTCAGCAGCTATTAGAAGTCTGAGAAGAGCCTTGTCCACTATTGAAAGAAGGTGAGATAAAAGGCTAGGCAAGCCTTCACAGGGGGATTATAGAAGTGTGTGGGGGGGAGCACAACTGAGAAGGATCTAACTTTACTTGCCTCTTCATTCTAACTCCAAAGTGGAGCCCCTGGAGTTATACTATCAATTATGGTTGAGATGACTGGCAAAGTCCAGTTTTAAAATGCAAAAAGAGTGGTATCCTGTTGCTTTTCTAACAGAGTTCCCAGGATACACAGAAGGGCAACCAATTCACAGAAATGATCTAGACCAGGGGTGTCAACTGCCAGCCCACAGGCCAGACACGTCACGAGGAAACCACGCCCACCCCATTGCCGGCAATGGGGAAAAAGCTCCAATATATCGAGCGACATCACGTGACATCTCGAGTTTGACATGTCTGATCTAGCCCTAGAATCTTTTACAGAATTTCTCCCTTACCTGAGTTCTTAACATATTATTGGAATCAAAATCCCATCGGTCACAGAAAAGTAATCAGTGGCCAGGAACCATGATTATTATAATCCAACCATATTAAGAGAGCCACGAATTTTCTACTCTTGCTTTATGAGTCTTCTTTTTCACACGCTCTTGAAGTCCGATTGCTTTAAAAATGTGATGGCCACCATAAAGAGCAGAATCAGCCTAAGGGCAGCTTTTTCCCAGTACAATGCTCCATCCCCAACAAGCGTAATACAATTTGACTGAGTTTGGCTTAATTTTATGTGGGAACTCAACCACTATGTTTTTATTCATTTGATCAATGCAATATATGGACCCAGCTACCATAGGATCACCAAGCACAGCTAAGAATAGGAAGGCCTTGGGGAGATGGGGTGTAGGAAAAAGGCAGTCAGTACTTGTGTTGGATCATAAATCAGTCTGGAACACAGCAGAATTAAACAAGGCTTTCACAGAGACAGATTTGTTAACTCTTCAGACCAAATGTTCAGATATACGCTGATATTTTTTAATTTCAGTGAGCAAATAGAGCAGAAGCTCATGCATGATTATCATTCCAAGAAAAGGTTAGCACATAAACACATCTAGTTCATACCTTCATATTCTGAATATTCTTTAGCATAACATCTCCAATTTTTTGGAAATCTCCTTTCAAGTGGGCATTAGAACGGCCTTCCCTGCCAAAAATAGAATTATCCATATCAGTCAAACCTTAGAAAATCATCTATGTAATGAACAGAACAGAGATAGTAAATAGTAGGCAATGCTGGAAGTAGGGAATTCATAGGACATGGGGTCAAGATGACAATTGCAACAGTATGTCTGAAACCTGACCCCCTCTTTTGACAAGTGACCGGAAGTAGCAGATACCACCAAAATGGGCTGTGACTTGTGATGAAATGAAGGGAAAAAAAGAGAGTAAAAAGCCTAGAAAATAAAGATTCTCATAGCATTCACACGTTTAATAACTGATTTTAACATCTGCACCATAATAATCTTGAAGTAGTAAAGAACCACAACTGATTTACCCCCCCTCAACTCATGCATATAAAGTCACACAAATCAGTTTGTTTCACAAGTCAATTAGAGTTGCTCAGGAAATAAAAGTTCCATTCCTCCTGCCAAACAGTCTTCTGAAGAAGGACCAATGTCTGAAGAAGAAGAGAGAACTTGCTTTCCTTGTTCCTTCTACCCTACAGTCTTTCCACATGCAACTCCATATCTAGATGCAAAGAGTGTGGGAGTGCAACATGTGCTATTCCTAAGGAGCACATCAAATCCTACTTTAGATGAAACATCAAAACAATGAAAACAAAGGGAGAAAGAGGAGGGGAAGTTACCCTTCCCTTTCCCCACTAATACTCCTACATAATGGCAAGTAATAGAGAGAAAACTTTTAGGTTGGACAAAATTAATACTTTATTTGCATATGAATCCAAATAATGAAGAAGATAGGTATGTCTTCTAATTTTAGAGGATTCTTTGAAAGCTAGCACTTTTTTGAGACACCCTGAACAATATTTGTACTATGTTATAATTATTGATTCAGGTAAATGTTCTAGCCCCAAGGCCAGGCCCTAATTTTGTTAACAGCAGGTGGCAGCATGAAACTGTTGATGGCTGATTTTGAAAAAGCGAAGTAGGGTTGGACATAGAAAGTGCTGAAATGGGCAACTTTCAGGAAATCCCAGGGATGCAAGTTAGACTGCAGACTTTTTTTTAAAAAATCCCAAAGACAGGCAATAGTAATTTATGTATCATTGCCGAGAATACTAGATAAATATGTTCATGAGGTAATCAAGAACTGAACATGACTTGAGGGATATTTTCTTTAAGAATCCCAAGAATGAGTTTAAATCCTGTGGATCCAAAATATCTCCAACTATAGTGTGCAGAACATTTCCAAAAACAGCTCCATGGACCTCAGAGCATTTTGTATTAGAGTCTTTTTAAAATGACCTTTTCCACCAGCTGCATTAAGGTCTCCAAACTCTTGAAATTCTAGAATAGAATAGAATAGAATAGAATAGAATAGAATAGAATAGAATAGAATAGAATAGAATAGAACAGAATAGAATTCTTTATTGGCCAAGCGTGAATGGATACACTAGGAATTTGTCTCCAGTGCATAAGTTCTCAGTGTACATAGAAACAGCAAGTAATAGGTCATAAGTTATAAATCATAGTTACAATCATTAATCATAAGATACAAACAACATAAGATACCAATAGGAGAAGATAGTAGGAAAGATGAGAAGATGAGAAAATAGAAGATGAGAAAGATGAGAAGGATAATTAGTAATACAGCCTACTACATGGGTAAATATCTTTAATCCTTAACATAGTACTGTGGGAGTTAGGTGTTCAGCAGAGTGATGGCATGGGGGAAAGAACTATCTTTGTGTCTAGCTGTTTTGACATGCAATGCCCTATAGCAACATCCTGAGGGGAGAAGTTGAAACAATTTAAAATGTCCAGGACGTGAGGGGTCTGTAGATATTTTCTCAGCCTCTTTCTAGTTCATGTAGTACACAGATCCTCAATGAAAGGCAGGCTGAGTGCGATTGTTTTTTCTGCAGTCCTATCTGTTGAAGTCTGTTCTTGTCCTGTTTGGTTGCTATGCCAAACCAGAGAGTTATAGAGGTACAAATGAAAGACTCAATAATACCTCTGTAGAATTGTATCAGCAAATCGTTGGGCAATCTGAGCTTCCTGAGTTGATACAGGAAGAACATTATTTTTTGTACAGTTTTAATGATGGTTCGAATCAATTGCAAAAGGCAGCTTTCATCCTGCAAGGATAGCTTTAACACCATGAAACAACAACATCTGCTATCTCAGGTCCTTATATATATATTAGGCACTTTGGGTGCTTTACAACTGTTAAAACATTTAAAAACAAATAATAATACAAGTAACACAAAACAAAGATGGCAGAGAACATAAACCCAGATGGGAACAAGGAGAACAAAGAAAAGGGGCACCAATCATTCCCACCAAAGGCCTGGGTGAAGAGCCACATCTTCAGGGCCCTTCAAAATACTAGTCGGGGGGGGGGGGGATTGTTCAAACTTCAGAGGGAATCTCATTCCGGAGGTCCTGATTTTCTCACCTCTTTTGATTGATTTCCCAAAAAATTAATTAGATATTTCTATAATGGTATATCTAACCAAGGTAAAAACCAGAATGATCTTTTAAACTACCCATGGCAATAATGACCTCTTCCACTAATACTTTACTTTTCCTCACAGTGAGCAGACTTTACCTCAAATGGGCATGGGAGGTACAGTTGCTTTACTTTTGTAGTGTAAATGATTGTCTGAATTTGCATGGCTACAATAGAGTTTGAGAATTAAAGTTACAACCAAGATGTCTAAATTAATGGCATTTAACATAATTAAAACTTGATCTAAAATTATTTTCAGTTAATTCAGTGGCATTAAAATTTCTGGAATATTTGAAATATATTCTCAAATAGTTCAAATTTTCATTAAGAATCCAGCTGTGTACTAAGAAAAATTAATCTCACTTCCAACTAAAGATTCAAAGGAACAAACTTCTATCTTAAACTGCACACATAAACAAAAGCATACAAGCACACACATCAAAGTCATAATTGTCCAAAAGAGTATAGTGATTGGGGATTCAAAGAGATGATTGACAGGATGTGCTATTCATTGTTGATTTACTCATTTTTATACAACTGGATGTTCTATATCTGCATTACTTAAGATATAGAATTTTAAAAATTGAGGCTCTTTTTCTTCATGAAGAAATATCTTTGTGTAAAATGTCCTCACTAATACTTGCAATCTATTTTCCATCTGTAAAAATACAAAAGGGAAAAATATTTCATCCATTTAAGCTAGTTTACCAAAGACGTTTTCAAATTTTATTAAATAAGTGATGGTGACTTAAGCATGCATTAATTAATTAATGTTCATTTTAAGAAGATCAAAGCAATCAAACATGTCGTGTGTAGAGTTTATAATTCTATTCCAAAATGCACTTGTAATGAATATTCGCAAACCTGGGTGAGCAGAGCACATTTCACTGATTAAAATGTCTGTCTAGACAACCAAAACATCTGCACAGAAAGACATTCGTTTGGGTGAAGGCTTCACTGTAATGAAACATGAGATTGGATTCATTTCCACTTGTAAACATCTGAAGGAGCAACAACTCGACCACTTGGGAAATATCCTTTGCAAAGAAAAGCAATGATTCCCTGAAAACTGATTGCCCTCACTTATATTTTCTCTTTTAGTCTATCATTCTTTCTCCCAGGGATACATTGTACAATGTAAAAAGAGACAGGTTTTCAAACTAACATACATATTGTAAAATAATAATTTACTGTGATTTTCTAAAGATAAAACATTTTTCCATGTCAAAGACCACATTTAAATCCAATCTTTATGATTCCATAATTGAGAAACAAAACTTGGATTTCCTTCCTGTTGCCAAGGCTTTTTGTTAATTTCTGTGAAAGAAAGAAAGAAAGAAAGAAAGAAAGAAAGAAAGAAAGAAAGAAAGAAAGAAAGAAAGAAAGAGAAAAATCCTACTTAGAAAATAACAAGAATTACAGAGGAACAGTAAATTTGAATAGAGCTGATTTTTAATATTCTTTGCTGATACACAGAAGCACAGAAAAATATCCTTGTGAACATACTTTTGTATATATTCACATATAAACCAGGGGTAGTTTATTGCATATAGCAGATGGAATCTTTTGAATCTATGAAAAACTACTCCACAACTCCACTCTACTGTATCTCCCAAATACTGTCATGTAGATCTTTAATGCTAATGGGATTATACTGGAAGAGTAGCAGGACACAAATACTTTGCTATTTTTTTTTTTTTTTTTGCAAATATGAACTATTGCTTCACTGAAATCAGTAAGCTGGCTAACTTGTTTCAACAATGAGAGTAGTCAATCTTTGGATAAATAAAACTGAACAGTTGGAGGAACATGTTGCAATATTTACTCAACTGCATACTGGAAGATAATAATGCTTGATTCTAGTACAAGTGGGCTGCTAGCAAGGCATTGATGCCTGATCTGCATACATTTGAGATTGCAATTAAACAAGAAAAATAGGAGATTTAAGCATATCTTCAGAGAAATATAAAATATCTCAAATTTTATAAAATATGAGATCATAGAAAGTCAATGTGATGTACAGGTAGTACATATAGTACAGTTCTCATTTAGCAATTGCCATGTTTAGCAACCATTCTCAGTTACGCCAGTGATTAAAAAAATAACTTTAGAATAAATACTCACACTTACAACCTTTGCAGATCTGTAAAGCAAAGAAAAACTGAAGGAAATTATATGCCACAGTGGTGGGCATACTTAACAACTGTTTCACTTAATGACCAAATTGTTGGTCCCAATTATTGCCAGTCCCAAGTTGCTGGCTCCTTCATGAAAATATTTAATATTGAAATAAGAGACAGTAAGTCTGGGCTAATTCTAATGCTGGAAAACAAACATACAAGTATGCACTAGGGTGGGGGAGGGGCTTCTGCAAAGAAATGGGTCAGTTTATTTTCTCCCTTATAATCATCTTTCCCACAGATCTCATGCTACATACCATCATTTGGGTATAATTTTTGTACTCTGTTTAGCAATGAGCTGGGGTTTTTTTCCAATTCACAATTTAATTCA